CCCTCTCCCTCTCCCTCTCCCTCTCCCTCTCCCTCTCCCCGTGGAGTCTTAGTTAAGTTTCTCAGTGAAGAGAGTGAGCATCCCCAGGAGGCGCTCAGAGTCCGCTGTCTCAGAGCTTTGGGAAATCTGCCAGACTGTGAGTAACTGTGGTCAGCCTGTTCTCACACCGGAGCTCCTTGAAGTTGTCTCTCCCGCCCAGCAGACATCTTGTAGCTTTTGACCTGGATCTTCCCCAGAGCCACCATCCAGTTGTGGCCTGCTTTTTAAAGATGTCTAATGTGTCTCTCTGTGGCTTATTTATGTCCACGGTCCGTCTGTGTTGTTGCAAGTGACAGGATTTCCTTCCTTTTTAAGGCTGAGCCACATACTGTTGGGGTTTCTTTTCCTGTTGCTGTGATAAAATCTTTCACAAGAGCAATTTAAGGGAAAAGGGTATATATATTTGGACTCCCAGTCCCAGGTTCTAGTCCATCCTACCAGAGGAAACAGCAGGAGTTTGAGGGAGGGGTCTCACTGCATCCATAGTCCTCCACTGTAGGTGCTGCTTCTGGCCACCTCCTGTGTCCCGTGCAATGTCCCACCAGGAGTGCTGCTGGGCTCCAGTTAACACGCCACCACAGTGCTATATGCATACCCATATGTAAATCCACTTTCATTCCCTCTTGGCTGTTGGGAATAGTTTTGCAATGATCAAGGAAGTATCAGAATCTCTTCAGCATCCAGAGTCTGTTTCCTTTGGACACACTCATGCATGCACACACATGGATGTGCACACAGACACATGGGTTGGGTGGCTGAATCACATGGTTCTTCTGTGTGATGATACCTAGTTAAGGCATCATCCATGGTTTCCAAAGACGATACTGATTTCCATGCTCATGCACAGCACAGAGTAGATTTTAACTTTTTAACCACACATACACACGCACACACGCACACACAAGGAGGAATATGTTAGTGATCTGGTGTGGCTATTCCACAGAACTTGTGTACATCAAACATGATCTGATCCATATATTAGATAGCTTTAAAAATGACAGACTGAAACTATTTTTTTTTCCCAAGTTCCCAGCAGCGGCTGGTTGAAGCAGCATGCAGCTGAGGCACATAGGACATCTCCTTGTTTTCTTCCAGCCGTCCTGCCTGGCCTGCCCTGCCCTGCCCTGCCCTGCCCTGCCCAGCAGGGGCTCACTGTTAGCCAGAGCTGTCCATGCTGGGAGGCCCTGCTGGGGCAGAGCTGGACTAGGACCTGGCTTCCCTTTCTCTTTTGACATGTGCTCCTGTGAGTTCAGGTTGTTTGTCCCCAGCAGATTTTCCCAGATTCAAACTGAACCACTGCAGGGCTCTCTAGGATGCAGGTGGCCACTCTTTAGGCCACCACTCAGAGCCCTCAGGATGCCCAAGCGTGATGAAGGCCTGGTCACACCTCTTTATAGAGGTCTTGGTTTTCTTCCACCCCAAGGCTCAGGGGCCTGTTGGCCACTGTGGGATCTTGAAGTCACCTCAGCACTGGAGTGACATGAACACGTGAACATGTCCTCCCCTTGAGGCAGGTATCCTCAACCTACACACACACACGCCCACTTAAGTGCATTTTCTTAACAGTTGGGAATGTGGAATGAAAATGCTCTGTCTTCCTGGCCTCTCAAGGTAGAGAGGCGTGGTGAGGTAGTGTGCAGTTCCAGAGTCGCCCGCATGCTTCATCGTCTATCTGTAGAGACTTGGTTTACCATCCACTTCTCAGGAGCAGGGAGCACCCAGTGGATTTCATGTTCTGGGACAGCATTTCCAGTGGGTCCCTAGTCTCTGTAAGAGAATGGGGTGGGACCTGCCTTAAAGGTCAGGGGAACTGGACCACATTCTGTTGCATCCACCCTTCTCACCTTCCTGTCATCTCTGCAAGTTCACACTGCCCAGCTTGGGCAGATGGGTCAACCCCCTGGCCTGCCTCCTCTCCTTGGCCACCCTGACCAGGCCATGAAACAGCCGGCGGGGGCCATCGTGACTCCGGATTCTTTGTGCTCACGTCTCTCTTTGTCCCTCAGTGTGACCCAGCGCTGCTCCCGGAGCCCAACCACGTCATGCTGAACCACCTCTATGCACTCTCGATCAAGGTGAGGACCTGTCCTACCTTAGAGCCGTTTCTGAGCCTGTGCTGAGGACCCAGCATGCCAGGATGGCCTGGAGTGTTGACAGCAGCCTTCAGGTCTGAGCGGCTTGGGCTCTGAAAACAGGCCCAGGAGCTGTTGTTTGCAGTAAGCTTGTGGTGTTTCTCATGTGCTCTGAGGTCTAAGTCCCTGACTCTGGTCATCTCTGCCCTCTTAGGACGGGGTGATGGTGCTCAGTGCAACCCACCGCTACAAGAAAAAGTATGTCACTACCCTCCTCTACAAGCCTATATGAGATGATGAGAGCCAGCCGTGGACCACAGGGGACAGCGGACAGCGCTGGGCTCTCTGTGTGCATGTGCATCCTCACTCACTCTGGGACATCTCACCCACCCCAGTCTTCCTTGAAGGTTTGTCCAGGCACAGCCAGAATAGGGATGGGACGGCCGCCTGCAGCCCCAGCACCGCAGGGCATGGGGCTTTTGTGCTCGAAGCATCATCCCTGCCACCGACCAGAGATGTCTACAGCCAGACCTGAACCTGGGGAGCAGGGACTGAAGCCACACAAAAGTCCTCATTGTCTGAATGCGGGAGGCCGCCGGCCTGTGCCTGCTGAAGCCTGGCTGGGAAGAAAGCAGTGGTCAGTCTTGCCTGTCCTTCCAAATCAAAGCAGTAGATTCTAGATCCTATGGAAATTCGATGTCTGATCTCCAGATGCAGCTTTGCAATCCTCTCCCGACACTGTGTGCACTAAGACCTTTTTAGCCAGAGTGGCGGGCTGTCCACTCCTACTTAAGGCACTAAGTCACCAGGATGAACTATAGATCATGTGACTACAGTCAGCAATAATCGTTCTCAAAACACTTCAAAACCCACTGCCATGTTCTCCATTAAGCCGGATGTTCCTGAGGGCTGGCCACCGTGGACTGACTCCTTATTTCAATTGCAATGTTGGCCATGTTACCATGACAACCTGGTTGCAGCACCAACCCTCCTTTAGTTCCAGCATGTGCTACTCAGCTGGGGACCCAGGTCTCTAGTGAGCAAAGAGGATCATGGTGGTTACTGTTGCTTCTTCTCAAAGAGCTTGGACCCCTACAGCAGACTGCTGGGTTTCCAGCAGGGTGAGCACGAATGAACCTACTCAGTCTGGTTTCCATGGTGACTTCACAGCTGTGCTCATTGGTACAGGTTCCTGCCAACAGAGGCAGGCACAAGCTTGGTGGTGTCCAGTGTTCAGTTAAACCTTGAGTTTTGGGGACCTTTTTGTTACTGTTTCAAAACACTGACTTGCTGTCTTCTTGATGTACAAGTTTCAATAAAGCTTTGTAAAAATAACTGGAGTAAGTTTTGACTCTACAGTTTTTTTGGAAGAAAGGAGTGGAACTTCCAGATTTATTGGTGCTTCCCTGTGGCACTCTGTAGTGAGTGGACCAGACAGCTGTGAGTGGCACTGGCAGAGGTCAGTACCTGACTCAACTCTCCATCACACCTGTGGGTACCTCTGAGACTGTGGGAGGAACAACTGGAAATCTCACACGGGAATGAGCTAGTTCTTGGGGCCCCCAAGGAGACGGCTCAGTAAGAGCACTAATTACCCAAGCGTGAGAGCCTGAGTTCAGCACCCCCAGCATCCACTTAAAGGTGCAGTGTGCTCACAGCCCAGTGCTGCCGTGCAAACCCAAGCAGATGGGAGCTCGCTAGCCGAGCAAGTCTAGTTAAGGCATGAGTTTGAGGTTCAGTGAGAGATACTGCTTCAAGAGAAAAAAAGGGGAAGAGTGATGAGGACACAAGGCCATCCTGTGTCTCCTGCTGGGGCTCCAGAGGTAGCTCAGTGGTTAAGGATACTGCCTTTCAACTAGAGGACCTGGGTTCAAATCCCAGCATCCACATGGCAGCTCTTCAACTATAACTCCCAAGATCTCACACCTTCAGACAGATAGGCATCCAGGCAAAACACCAGTGCCCATAAAACCAGAAACATATTTTTAAAAAATTTTAGCTCTACCCACAAGGGGCTGAAACACCCAACTAATAATAATACCACGTACAAACAAGTTCAGAGTCCACTCTTTGAGAGCCAGTGCCCCAGGATCATGGGTGGCTCCTAAGGGAGATGATTGGTAGAGTGTCAGACTAGAGGCATACTCTCAAAAAATTAGAACACGAACACTCTGTGTGTATTTAGAAGAATCTCATTTTCTCCAAGCAAGAGGATGTCCTCTGTGATGCACAAGATGCCCACAGGCCCAGTGAGGGATCCCAGACCCAGGAGCTAAAGGCAGTGGAGTAAATTACCTCAAAGGAATGGAACCAGAGCAGCTGCATTCAGCCCTCAGAAGCACTGCCATCTGTCAGCTGCTTCCTAAGTCACGCTTGTCTTGCTAGCATTCTGTCTATAGATGAGGACTGGGCCCGTGGTTAGCGGATGCTAACTCAAATTGTTTTCCAGTCAGGATATCTTTCCTCCCTCTGGAAACATAAGCACATTTATAGAGCCAAAGGTAAGCCCTGAAAATTATTAAGACATAGAGATACTGCAGGATCGATACAGTGTTTCCTTGGCAACCTCGAGTAACTGGTTCTGTTCCTCTTTCCATTATGAAAATCTCCAGACACTGGAGTCAGGAATAAAATAGCATAGTATTTACATAGAAGCTATATATATCTTCCTCTGTGCTTGATAACAGTGTATGTTTATGCAAATAGTTAAGCTTGTATCATTCATTTGGGGAATGGTAAAATACAAATTTTTAGCAAACATGTTTAGTTTAGGTGGGTTAAATGAACCTGAACGATCACAGAAACACCCAGAATCCAGAGGACCCAGGCGAGACAGGCCACTTGCTTCCCTTTGCCTCTACTCCTAAGTGCAGACACAAGGGAAGTAGATGGTGCTCCAAGACTAGGTCACCAGCTTGACCGTGTCAGCCTCTGACATCCCATACCAGATGTAGATCAGGGCTGTGTGTAATTCACATGGCTTCTAGGGATTTCCTCTCCCTCAAAAGTGGCAGGTTGGACTAGATAGACACCCAAGACTCCCTTAACTCCTGGGAACCACAGAACAAGAATGGGCTGTGGCCACAAATAAGAAGTCGAGGCACCACCAGACAAGGAGACCCACAGGGCAGCCGTCAGTAAGTTAGGAAATCCTCGAAACCTGGAACTGATGTCAGAGGCCAGAGCATGTTAGAGAACAAGATTCCGTTTCATCTGGCTCCTTGAACATGAGCACAATTCGCATTCAAGCTTCCGATGAGTTCTCCTGGTGTCTCATCTGCTGTGGTCTGACTACGTGCCATCCAAAGGTCAGTTGTCTACGCTGTGATAGTTTTAAAAGGTGCTGTTTAAGGAGTAGTTAAGTTGCTGGAGAGATGGTTCAGCGGTTAAGAGCACTGACTGCTCTTCCAAAGGCCCTGGGTTCAATTCCCAGCAAGCACATGGTGGCTTGTAGGAAGCCGAGGCTTATGCTGGCAGAATCCGCCATTGCAAGATGGCGCTGGCATCCGGCACTCCTCCTAGTAAACAAGTAAACTGCGCATGTGCTATGGTAAAAGCGCGCCAAAGTCATAGCCCATCCCAGGGTGTTTTGGCAGGCGACGAGTAAGCAGCCAATCAGAGGTGAGCACACCACTCCAAGGGTATATAAACAGTGCTTTTTCCGGGCCTGGGGTCTTCCACCATTTTGTTTTTGGAATAAACGTTTTGCTGCGGAAGGATCCTGATGTGTGTCCGCGTGCGTTCTTGCTGGCGAGACGATTACACGCGTGTCACAGTGGCTCACAACCATCTGTAATGGGATCTGATGCCCTCTTCTGGTGTGTCTGAAGACAGCAACAGTGCACTCATGTACATGAAATAAGCAGTTAAGTCATGAGAGTCCCCCCCCAACCCACATGAGGTAATGAAGCCTTACAACAGAGGCTCCATGAAGCTTTTTGACTAGCTTGCCTTCTGTGACTTTCACTCTGTGAGGACAAAGCTTTCTGGCTGTGGAGAGTTTCAGAAACAAAAGTGTCATCTTGGAAGCTTATAGCAGCCCTGGCCAGGCAACCATAACCCATAGCACCTTGTCTCAGACCCTCTAATCTCCAGAGCTGCAAGACGTACATTTGTTCTTTATAAACTGCCCCGTCTCTGGTATTTTACTACAGCACCACTACACAAAAATATCTACCCGTGTTTACAGACAGTGTGAACGATGCGATGAAGACCCACGTCTGGGTCAATGAGTATTCCTGCTTCCGACGAGTCTTCATTGCTTCAACAGCGGATTAACGGACAAACTTGAGCCTTCTGCATGTTAGTCTCCCATCTTCAAGGGAAAGCAAGGAAGTCGTGAATATGTCTGTATTCCTTCTAAAGTCTGTCACCTCAGTTAGCTGTAGGACTCATTCAGTGTTCCGCACAGCTGTATCTGAATCCAAACCTTGGACAAGCTGGAGCCTGGTTTGTGGGGCTCAGCTACCGCCCCAGTGGGATGCAGAAGTCGTCTCTGGGATCCACATCACTAGGCCAGCCCTCACTATTGCCCCACCCCCACCCCCAAGGGAATTTAACTGTGCCATCTGGAAACTTCACAGCCAGGTAGAGCAGGAGTCAGTTCTACCTTCCCTAACTTGTAGCTGTCTGAAGGTGTCACAGGCAGGTACAGTAGCAGAGTCACCTTCAAAGTCTTTTGTTCCACCTCTAGTAACCCTTTCTAGGCAAACACCTCTATTACTCATTGACAGACCCAGGGGAAAGCTGCAATTCCTGTACTGTATTTCCACCCGCAACCCCCTCTGCGTCAGGAAAACAGACGTGACATGTGACTAGGTCCTAGTCCTTACGCTTCACACAGGGTAAGTAGCACTTTAAGCCAGCAAGAGTCAACCAGAGCAGCCTCTGCCTGGAACAAGAACAGGCCAGTTTCTTAGTCTTGGCACTACAAAGATAGATCATTCTTAGTTATTGGTATGTGTCTGTAGGCTGAAAATGATTGAGCATTTTATAGCTCTCTGACCTCTCCACTCATTGGATACCACCAGGAACCTGTGTGGCAACCGGAACTAACCCTAGCTCCCACCAGGCATCCTGTGTAGGGGAAGGAAGGCAAACTGTCCTGGCTGAGAGCCACTGAATGGAACCAGACTGTGATGCCTCTGTTGCCCCTGCAGGGCCAGCCTCTTCTCTCCCTGTGGGTCTTCGAGAGTGTTTTTACCCAACCTATGGAAAAGGCCCTCTGCTGATACATAGCATGGCTGCGTGACTTGATAGCTGCTCCATAGAGGTAGTTCCTTCGGGTCTGGAGGGCCTCTCAGCTCGATCCTTTTGGAACCAAGTCCTGTTGACTTCCCCGTATAAGGCAGCCCCTAGCAGCCAAGAATCCCTAGGCTCATAGCTGCACCGGTTGGCTGATGGTTAATGGACATTTTTCTAATGTTTGTTGTATGGGAAGAAGTTGCAAGTCCCAAGTCCCAAGTGAGTCATTTTCTTTCTTACGATCACAGGGACAAAGCCTCTGTAGCCCCCATCAGATTTAACCGTCAAAGTCGATTTTTAACTACATCTGACCACCTTGTTATGTTGAATCGGAGCTGTAAAGCAGCAGGTGTCACGGGACTGGGGGTGGGGGACATAATGCACCACCACTGGAGGAGATGGTTTACCTTGCAGACAGGAAGTGTCTAGTCAGAACAGGAAGCATTCAGTTACCTTCATTGGAACTCTCTCGAAAGAGACGTGCAATATTAAGTTCTCAGCGGCCTTGAGGTAATGGGATCAGAAAAAAGCTTGTGTTGACCTGTTTTCCTGGTTAGCTGCCTTCCGGCTAATCTGTTCTGGACTAATCCTTAGAAAGTAGCCTCATTGACTGTTTAAGGTGCTTTCCAGCTCCCTGCACTAAAAAATGACCTTAATGGCAAGTCCCCCCATAGTTCACAGAAGCACTGACCAAACTGTGCCCCCGCCCTTCATTCCAAGGGTTTCTGATTCTCTTCATCCCCCGGAAAAGCCTCCCTCGGAGGGGAGGTGCTAGTGAGCCTGCATACACCTTGATGGTGGCTATTTATGGTCTCTGACAAGAAAAGAGGCCAAGGGAGTGAACGGTTTTTTGAGACCACTGCTTTATTTCACTATCGTTCAACAACAGAGTCAGCCCTCTCAGGTGAATCTGGAATCTTCCATGTGTTCTCCTCGTTCTTAATAAAAAAAGGTAATGAAGAAAAAAGCCTGTATTTTTGGAGACCTAGAATCTTATCGATGCTAATATAAGCTTTTGACTGCGATTTCGGGTTACGATTATTTCCTGCTGGCATCTCGGTGGTCACACAGAGAGCTCCCCACTCCGGTGGAGACGGCTGTCCACAGCTACCACCGTTGAAAACAAAAGTGTTGAAAAATGCACCTTTTACAATAAAAAAGTAGAAACCAATTCAATTTCCGTTTTTTTTTTTTTACGAATATAAAGTTTCTTGTAAATATGTACAGTCTGTTGAGCTAGCTCTATGTAGCGGGAAGCACTTCACAGATGAGACACGCAATATACACTGTCAGGGCTCAAGGTGCCCGCGTTTCGTGGAGGTCCTAAATGAGATGCCAAGACTGAAGACCAGTTATCAGTGACCATTCCAAATACTTGTGGACCAAGAGACAAAAACTTCAGCAAACAGCCAGTCAGATCTGCCCTGGGGGTGGGGGGATACAGGAGTGGGAGGGTGCGGATAGGAAACATGACCCCAAAGACTCCAAGCAACACGTAAACACAACAGCGGGGCGGGCACGGGATGTGGAGGGTCACGGGCGTTTCAAACGAGAAAGCACTTAGGTTAGTGACAAGCAGGAAGGAGTCGGCATTTAGGCCAGGTTGTAATCTGGGAGGTAACATGGACTGTGGACGCGTGGGCTGAAAACACAGACACGGTCACCTGCTGCGGTGGGGACAGGTCTACCTTTCAGCCTACCTAGGGTGTGCCTTCGTGGTGGGCACGCCTAAGAGTCGAGGAGAATCCAAAGCAGGAGAGGCCTTGTGGGAGATTAAAGGCAAAGATAAGGCAGCTAGTTAGCTTGCCAACTGCAAAGCCTCTACGTTGGTTGGTTCTATCCGGTGGCCAGGAATTCTCTAAAGAGGGCGGAGAGACGGGGTGAGCCGCACTGCACCTAAGGGGAACTCGCCAGCCCTGCGGGGCTGGGAGCGTTGAGCTGCGGCTTCTCTCCAGTGTCCTGGCCTTAGGTCCAGCCCTAGGGAGAGGCTCATCTGGGAAGTCACAGTTTCATGGGGTAGAACCGTGCTGGGCTTTGTGTGAGTACACAGTCATCCTTGAAGTCAACAGGGAACTGGAAGGCGGGAGGGAAACCGAGGGAGGAGTGTGGTTTGCTGAAATCCTTCTCTGGTCGTAAGGCTTGAGCGTTTTTGTTTTGTTTTCGTTTGCTTGTTCAGTGCTACAGATTGCAGCCTGTTGTGGCCGGTTTGTTGACAAGTCATCGAGAGGGTCTTGATTTTGGTGGGGTTATGGGATGGCAGCAAGACATCGGCAGAGCAACCCAGGGAGGAGTCAGGCAGGTCAGGGGCAGCACATGCAGCGATCCGCCATGCAGAGCTCCCAGCCGGGTCTTCCTCCTCATCCCAGAGGAGTGACCCTCGGACAGGAGGCGGGTGCCCCGGTCCCAGGCCCAACCCCAAGGCCTATTAGTGCTGGGCTTGGAGCAAGTCTATTGCACGCTTTCCTGGCCAGAGCTACATGGAAAGCCGGGGAGGCAGGCTGGGGAGATGCGGCTGTAGGGCGGGGGAGGAGAGCTCGAGGTCCCTTGGCCCCAGGTCACTGCCTCTGAGCCGTGACCCTCCATACATTCTCGGCTGGTGGGAAGGGAAGTTGTCAAGGCCATAAAAAGGCAATGAGAACGGTAAACATTTGGCTAGGATGTCACCCTGCTAAGACAGGGCCATCTATGAGAATGGACCGGGACAAGAATGACGGAAGCTACATGAAGACAGGAGGTTAGCCAACTGACAGTGGGGCTCTTCTAGGCTACATTTCAGTGGCAAAGACCTGATGGTGTGATCTAGCTAAAAAACCACTACAACAGGAAATACATCGCTACCCAAGTCTACTACGAATTCTGTTGTCTTAAAAAAAAAAAAAGAGGAGGAAGAAGAGGAGGAGGAGGAGGAAAAGGAAATCAAAACCAAAGAGGGAAGAAGAAAAAAAAAACAAAACAAAACAACCAACCCGAGGATCTTAGAGTAGCAGTAGACTTCCAGCCACGGTTTGAGTCCGGGTTGGTTTCCTTTTGATGATTGGGTTCAGGCTGGAGGTAAGTACAAAAGTCTGTGAATGCTGAGAGAGTTAACAGTGCAGAGATGACTGCAGGAAGGTGCTCCCTCCCCTCCGAGGGGGGGACTGAGCGCTGGCAGCGCCTAAGAGCCTTGGCTATCTGCACCCCTTGGAGATGGGGGTATCCGTGCCAAGGACAGTCTGGACCCAGCTGTGCCGAATGCGGGCCGGGCGGACGGGTGCTGGGGTCCCCTGCGGTGGAGCCCTAGAGCGCAGTGTTTTCCTGCAGACTGAGATGAGGAGGAGGTGTTTTTCTGGTTGAGACTTATACTGAAGACTGGTCCCAGACCTAGGAGTCAAATACAAAGGAGGGGGGTTCAGCATCCAAAGCCAGGAACTGCTGGCTCCCTGTGTCAGGCAAGCAGGACTTCATGGCGCCTGTCTTGCTCCTCCAGCAGTTGATAACGCTGCTACACGGAACAATGCCGACTTAATAGAACCAGCCCTCAAAGAATGGGGCTGGGCAGGAAACGAGTCCCTGAAAAGAAAAACCCCAAACCCAATTTGCACGGTTGCACACACACATATGCACTCTCAGTTTTAATGAGGAAACCTTTCTTCTTTCTCTGCCAGAAGAGGCATCGTGTATTATAGTAGCATCTGTAGGAGAGTGCCTCTCATCCTCGGGACAGAGGTGATGCCTCTGTCTACACTGGGCTTTAAAACTGGACAGCCCACCAAGGCAGACTGAACACCAGGACCCATGCGAGCATTCATGAGAGCGTGCTTGCTTCACCGATTCAGACACTAGCCTCAAAGCCGCACGGTACCCCAGACTTGGAAAGAGCTCAAAGTTCTCAAAGACAAGCGCAACCTGCAAGTTTCTGGGAACCTTCCGGAAAAATATCACCAACTACAATATGTCTACGTTTGCCTGTGTGTTGGAAATTGTCCAAAATGTTATCATTTGTATTTTACAAGGGAGATATGCATGCTTACTTGCTTGTGTGCACAGAACAGCCACAGGAACGACTCTAGGGCAGGGAACAGCATACCAGTTGGTAGCTGTTGCCTTCTGAGGTGTGCATACACACGCTTTCCCTTTAAAGCACACACATCATTTATGTTGGAAGCCCCTTAAAGCATGTTTGCTTCCTAAGCTTTTACTTCCCCCAAGCCTGCGTCACAGAGATGAAGTCCTGCTTGTACCAGCCCTGAGGATGCTGTCTCACCTTGTTAACCTGGGACAGTGGGGTCCTCACTGCTCCCGCAGGCAGCCGGCCCCTACTGCTGTCTTCAAACAGTCTCCCTGGGGATCGCTCTCTCCTCGTGCTGAGCATCCGGCCTGGGGACTTCTCCCGCTCCAGAGGACGGCCTGGAGACTTGTCCCTGCGAAGCTCTGTCCGGCCCTCTCTGTCTCGGTAGCGGTGGGGTGTGCTTGGCTCTCGGGGGTGGCTGGGGCCTTCTGGTGGCGCTGGGCTGGAGGCCACACGTTTGGTGATGTGCTCGTTGTATGTTGGTGGGCCTCGCTTGTTGGGGCTGCTGGGGACAATAGGAAGTCAGGGAGCTGAGAAGTCACAGGTCCAAAGCTGCAGCTCCTGTCCCCCTCCACGCAGGCCCCTTTTCAACACTTTAATTTTTGAGACAGGGTCTCACTCAGTATGTATTCAGCTGTTCTGGAACTCACTAGAAAGCCCAGGCTGGCTTCAAAGTCATGATCCTCCTGCCTCAGCTCCTGAGGGCTGGGGTTAAAGACATAACTACCATTCACTCTTACTAGGAAGAGCTTAGACCCGAGGACGAGGACAGGAGAAGCCCAGACTTCCAGGTGTTGGTGCTAGCTCCCACCTACCGCATCCTCTCCATGCCCCTGCCTCAGCTAAGCCCTCACGGTCTCATAACAACACCAAATGGGAACAAGTTCTTGTCGCTGCACAGGCAGGTGCATGGAGATGGAGTGGCCCAGGGAACTGCCAAAGAGCCGAAGCAAGGTCAGTCTGGGGTCATGATCTCCTCACTCTATCCTGCCAACCTAATATTTCCCAGAGGTCTCCTGTTAGGGGCTAAGCGTTTCAGAGCTCAGAAACCAGAGGCCCACCCAGGACCTTGGTGCAAGGGAGTAGTTTCGAGAAAGGCCGTCACTGTCAGGGCCCCGATCTATAACCTAGTGCCCAGCATTTGGTCACCTCTCCCTGCAGGTGGTTTTTCCAAGTTTTTGTGGCAACTGATACAGATGTTCAGAAGGCTGAGGATTCCCAGTCATGACAATCAGATGGTCTGTGGACACAGGGATGACACCTAGGAAAATTAGGAAACCACACAGAGCAGACAGGGACAGTCCGGCTAGCTCACAAAACCGCCCTGGCCCAGAGATTAACCAGCAACAATCTCTGATCCTCTGGTCCACTGAGGTCACAAGCACCCTTTCACCTTTCTTCTTGCCACACAAGCCATCTATGTGGGAACTACAAGCCCCGGGACACTGGGACCTTTTGGTAGGATCAATCCAACCCTCAGCCCTGGCCTGGCCTGAACTACCTGCGGGAAAGAACTGAAAAAACAGGACAATTTGCAGAAACGGTAAGTGTCAGCTGGTCGTGAACAGCTTTATGCCGTGGTCGCCTCGCGTCCGAATACAGCGCTAATTAGTCATTCAGATAAATGTTCTGCCAGCCAGCCGACTTCATGTCTCTGGGGTTTTGGATGTAAGGGAGAGGATTTCTATACCCGGGAATCAAGGTCTGTGAACGCCTCAGGCTGCAGAGCTCGGAGAGACAGAAGATGCATTAGAACAAATAAGTCCATGGGAGAGAAATACATTAAGCCTCTTTGGAATGAAAGAGACATTCTAGCATGCGTCCACAGGGGCTCATCGTGAGGCTAGCAGGAGGGAGCTCTGTGTCCAGGGAAGCAGAGTGGCTCGGGGAAGGCCACTGGTGACAGATGCTTAGATTAATGAGAGCAGAGACAGCACTCATCACTCCGGGCCAACTGGGCACTCTTCCATCTCCGTATCCATAATGGCCAATGAGCTACCGCGTCCACTTTATGGTTTCTGCAGAGTTATGGTCCCTGCTCTGCTAAACCGGCCAGGAAAACGGGGCCTGCTGTGAATCACAGTCAGCCAAGCCAATCATAGACACTCTGACCCGCCCGCAGCAGCCAAGAGCAAGGGTGATTGGTGAGAACAGACTGCAGGCGGGAGTGAGGCTTGCTGGGAAGCCAGCAGGTTGCCTCTTTCCCATTCACAGCACCTGGAGCCCTTCTGGTCAACGGAACAAGTACGTACTTACAGTGGACCACGTGAGGTGCATGGCCATGGGGAAGCCTACCCCCGACACTCGGACCCCTCTCTGGCATGACTTGGAAATGACACTAAGGTTCTAGGCACTTTAGGGGTGCACACTGGCCCACCATGCCATCACTCTGGGGATGGGATCAAATGGAATGGCATTGACGCTGGCTTCTCAGCACACTCCCGTGGTTAAAACCACCATGATGAAGAGATAAGGCCATCACTCGGACATGTTAAGGTACAGAAAAGAGTGCACAGTACGCTGCCCCTTGTGCTGCATAGGAACGCGGGACCACACGTCTCAGACACATTGGCTCCTAGCCATCAATAAGAGAGACAGTGTGTCCTGGCATGGCATCAGAATATTAAAGACACGTCTGTCTTTTATAATACCTAAGGATTCTGGAACACTTGGTGATGTTGATCCAGCCACCAAATTATAAACCCTTTAGAGAATAATGAGAGTGCCCTCAGTGGTCCTCTCCACAGTCCCAGATGTGATGCCTCGCACCAGACAGCGGGTCCTCATGGCTGCTTACAGGGCAGCCCAATGAAACAGCAACCCTGGACTAAATCTCAGAGCCTCTAGGTCTCAAGCTTCCCACACACTGCTGGAGCAAAGAACAGCCTCACAACGATCCTCAAACCCAACTTCACACGACTTAGAACGAAACACGGTGCTTGGGGACCTGGTAGAGCTGGGAGCAACTGGTCATTTGTCAGGGTTCCCATCAAGGTCCTGGATTGACTAAAACCACATTGACTACAAGGCTGGGGACAGGGGTGGCACAGTGGCAGAGCCCTTGGCTAGTATGCCAGGCCTAGGGTTCAATTCTCAGTACTGCCCAAAAAAAAAAAAAAAAAAAAAAAGGCACGTGCACACACACACTCCCGCATGCTGACCAAAAGGATTGCAAAACCAGCTTGGAGCAAGCCAACAGCATTTATGCCAGAGAACCAAACTTGCTCAGGCTCAGGGAGAACTTAGCATGCCCTGGGCCCGCGCCTCTCCCTAGAGCAATGTTTGTAGAAGTGAAGCCAGCAGGCTTGTCACCAGACAGTCGCCATGAGGAAACAGCATCCTGCAACATCTGGAAGGTGCAGACAGGCTCCAGTAACCCAAAGGCTTGCTTCCAGGAAAGGATCAATCTCTGGAAAATCTACACAGACACTCAGGGCTGTCTTTGTCGGACTGGGGTTTGCTGGACAAGAGGCGACCCAGTAGCTCTGTCTGAAGATGAAACAGGCCTGGGGCGGTCACTGACGCAGATGACAAACTTCTTTTGGGGGTGATAGAAACCTTTTAGATATCGGTGGAAACTGGATACATGTACAGAAATGCTCAGACCACTAAACCGCACACTTTGGAGGGTGTCCTATGGCAATCTTTATGGTATGCGGGTATCGCAGTAGAGAGCTCAGTAGGATTCAGGGGACTGGAGTGCTTGCCCATGGAAATTTACTCCCCACTATTCGAGTGAAGTTTGATGCCTGCGTGAGTTTAAGTGCACGGTGTGCGTGCAGGTGCCCCAGAAGATCAGAAGAAGATGGCGGATCCCCTGCCACTGGAGTTACAGACGTCGTGAGCCTCCTGGTGTGGGTGCTGGGAGCCAAATGTTAGCCCCTCTGCAAGAGCCACACACGCTCTAACCACTGAGCCGTCTCTCTAGTCCTCCTCACAGTGAGATGTTAAGAGGGTTGAAATGGAATTTGATTATGGTATTTGGGGGTGGAGACACAGCTTTTAAGGATGCGAGCAGGGTTGGATACAGAGACAAGAAGGTACACATGTGTGTTAGTCCCTGTCTTACCATGTGGGCCCTTGACTTCAGAACAGTACTATATTGGCTGGTTTTCTGTGTCAACTTGATATAAGCTGGAGTTATCACAGAGAAAGAAGTCTCCCTTGAGGAAATGCCTTCAGGAAATGCAGTTGTAAGGCATTTTCTCAACTAGTGATCAAGGGTGAGAGGGCCCAGCCCATCGTGGGTGGAGCCATCCCTGGGCTGGTGGTCCTAGGTTTTATAAGAAAGCAAGGCTGAGCAAGCCAGAGGAAGCAAGCCAGTAAGCAGCATCCCTCCATGGCCTCTGCATCAGCTCCTGCTTCCTGACCTGCTTGAGCTCCAGTCCTGACTTCCTTTGGTGATGAACAGCAATGTGGAAGTGTAAGCTGAATAAACCCTTTCCTTCCCAACTTGCTTCTTGGTCATGGTGTTTGTGCAGGAATGGAAACCCTGACTGAGACAAGTACCATGAGGCTCTTTTCTTTATAACTAACCCAGCACCAGGTATTTCATCGTAGTGCCAGAAAACAGACTGATCTGTGGTATAGTCTTTATGGAGTAGCCCACATGGACTTGTGCACATAGAGATGCAGAAAGACGTCTGAACAGAAGCAAATTTGCTTTCTTCCTGGTTGTTGTTGTTGGTGGTGGTGGTGGTGGTGTGAGGGGGAGGAAGGGAGGAACAAGGAGAGAAGGCAGGTTCAGATCCTTGAGGGATGAGGGTGAGGACTGTCTGAGCCAGGAGTTCAGGGTAGCATGGTGTGATGGTTTGTATATGCTTGGGTCAGGGAGAGGCACTGTTAGGAGGTGTGACCTTGTTGGAGGAGGTGTGGCCTTGTTGGAGTAGGTGTGTCACTGTGGGCGTGGGCTTTAAGACCCTCATCCTAGCTGCCTGGAAGTGAGTCTTCTCCTAGCATCCTTCAGAAGAAGATGTAGAACTCTCAGCTCCTCCTGCACCATACCTGCCTGGACACTGCCATGCTCCTGCCTTGATGAAAATGGACTGAACCTCTGAACCTGTAAGCCAGTCCTAATGAAATGTTGTCCTTATAAGAGTTGCCTTGGTCATGGTGTCTGTTCACAGCAGTCAAACCCAAACTCAGAAGTTGGTACCAGGGACTGGAGTATTGCTATAACAGGCCTGACCATGTTTTTGTTTGAAAGAAGGTGGATTTGGGGACTTTGGATTTGGAAAGCCATGGAATGTTTTAAGTGAGGCTTAGTAGGCCGACCTACGGGAATATGGAAGACTTTGTTGCTGTGAGTGATTTCAACTGTGTAGACCTGGCCTAAGAGGTTCCAGTGGAGAATTACAATATGTGGCCTAGAGACTGTTTTTGTGGTGCTTTGGTGAAGAATGTGGCTGCATTTTGCCCTTGTCTGAAGAGTCTACCTGAGTCTAAGGTAAAGAGATTTGTATTAATTGTATTGACAAAGGAAGTCTCAGAAAAGCCCAGCAGAGACTTTGTTCTCTGGTTAAGTCACATGAAGAGCGTTTTGACCAAGCGTAGCAAGCTGAGAAAGGAAACGTATAAAATTTATGGTTCAAGTATTAGAGGGGCACCAGGAAGTGAAATGGAGCTGAATCCTATGCTCTAGGAGACGACAGATTAAGGGCTTTGGGGGCAAGATCCTGCCCAGCTAAGTTTAGACCCAGGCATGGTGGTACACCTTTAATCCCAGGAGACGGGCATGCAGATCTCCGAGTTCAAGGTCAGTCTGCAGAGAACGAGCCAGGACAGCCAAGCTCAGGCAGTGAAGGAGTTGGGAAAGAGGAAGCCAGTGATGATGTAATAGAACAAGGGGCCATGTTCCAGCTCCAGCAAACAGCAGCAAGCAGCCAATCTTGGCAGCTTTGGCCATGGGACACTGGCTTTGTAGTGAGGAGGAGGAGGAGGAAGAGCAGACTGCTGAGACCATTGACGCTGGTTATCTGGAGCTAAGAAATCAGTGGTGATTAAAGAGACCAGCTGGAGAGATGACTCAGCAGTTACAGAGCACTGACTGCTCTTCCAGAGGTCCTGAGTTCAATTCCCAGCAACCACATGGTGACTCACAACCATCTGTAATGGGATCTGATGCCCTCTTCTGTTGTGTCTGAAGACAGCTACAGTGAACTCATATACATAAAATAAATAATTTTTAAAAAAGAGAGAGACCAGCATTACTGAGGTAAAATCTTCTGGGAAATGTTTTCTGAGAGCACAAAGAAGCTGTGTTCCAGAAATAGCCAAGGTTGTACCTAAGGCTGCAGCTGTACTTGGTAACGTGTAAGAGTCACCCAGGTGGTACTGGTTTTGTAGGCATGAGGGAGTCATGAAGAGCAGCGGAGGCTCAGCACGGTGAGAGGCCAGGGAAGGCCATTGGTGAAGGTGCAGCCTCAGTTGCAGTTGATGGCCCAGGACTGAAGGGGTCATGCAAAAGGCTTGGGGCTTGGCACCATGAAGAGAGCCTATGAGAGGTTATTGATGAAGCCTAGTTGCAGCAGAAGACCCCAGCGTATTGGAGAGGCCAGTACCATGGGATGATCACCAAGAACAGCAGCAGCAGTGGAGTGGAGTCAACCTGAGCTTAGAGTGCTACAGAGGGCAGAGCTGGAGAAGTGATTCCAACCCTTTGGAGGAGCCCAGAAGATCATGTGTAGATCCCAGACATTGAAACAAGAAGCTGTAACACTGAAGTTGCCTTGGAGACCCAAAGACATTAAGAGATGTCAGAGCTGTGGGCTGAGGAAAGCTGCTAACAGGGAGTGGAATCAGCCCCAGAAAAGTATGTTTCAGTCAACAAAGATGAAAAAGGAGTTGGAGATCTGAAGACTGCTTTGACATCAGACATGAAGATCCAGAGTTTGGAGTTTGCCCATCTGGTTTCCTGTCTTGCTTTTGGGATTACACTTAAGTGATTGGATGAATCTTAGAAGAGACCTTGAATTTTGGACTTTTAACACTGTTGAGACTGCTATAGACCTTGGGGACTTCTGAAGTTTGACTAAATGTATTTTGCATTATGTTATGTTTAGGTATGGCCTCCATAGACTCATGTGTTTGAACAAGCCTATGGGGGCCAGGGAGTGGAATGTGATGGTTTGTATATGTCTGGGTCAGGGAGTGGCACTATTATGAGGTGTGGACTTTAATACCCTCATCCTAGCTGCCTGGAAGCCAGCATCTGCAAGCAGCCTTCAGATGAAGATGTAGAACTCTCAGCTCCGCCTGCACCATGTCTGCCTGGATGCTGCCATGCTGCCACCTTGATGATAATGGACTGAACCTCTGAACCTGTAAGCCAGCCCCAATCAAATGTTGTCTTTTGTAAGACTTGAATTGGTCATGGTGTCTGTTCACAGCAGTAAAACCCTAAGGTACATGGTAACTTGACAAGACCATTATCTGTTTAAATTAAGGGGCAGGTGACTGTACTGGTGGCTCAGCAGTTAAGAGAACTGGCTTCCCCCCCCCCCCCCGGGGACGTGAGTTCAATTCCCAGCAACCACATGGCAGTTCACAGCTGTCTATAACTCTAGTTACCGTGGATCGGATACCCTCTTCTGGTCTCCTTGGGCACCGGGCACACACATATATGCAGGCAAAATATTCATGTGCATAAAATAAAATTTTTTTAAAGATGAGCCAGGTGTAAGTAGCATCGTCTGGAGGCAGAGGCAGATGATCTTTATGAGTTAGAGGCTAGCCTGGTCCAGGATAGTGAGTTCCAGGCCAGCTAAGGCTCCAAAGTGGGACCCTATCTCAATAAAACAAAAGTAAATAAAAATATGTAAATCTTTATTCTTTTAAAAAGAAACCAAAGAGACCACTACCTAATCCTCCCTGTGCCCTCCGGGTACTGTGTCTGGGGTTAGATTTCCAACACAAATATAAATGCAAGTTATAAAATAAAATATTAGAACTCTGAAGAGTTCTCAGTTCTAGAGAAGCCTCCAGGTGGCCTGGGAAGCCACGGCCCACCCCACCCCAACCCCTCAGGACTTCCCCTCTACTGCTTTGCCTCCCTGCCCTCCCGATGCCCCTCCCTAGCTTCCTTTCTTTGGGGAAGTCCTTCCTGGTCCCAAGTCTAGGCTGTAGGTCCTCCTGTGAGCTCCCACAGTGGGCCTATCAGGACTAGACCCAGGGTTCCAGTTGCCTCTCTCTTGCACTGGGTGTGAGCAGCATGAAGAAGGGGCCACAGGCTTCCCTGGGGCTCAGCAGCTAGCAGGACAGACACAGACAAGCCTAAGTCTTGACCTGTTTTCAACAGAGCCACCGAAGGCTCCCTCAGGGAAATGTCAGACGTTCCCTGCCGCTGCAACCAGGAGCCCTCCACAATCTGGTGCTTACGACGGCCATGCACAGAAAGCATGCTGCTCCTTGAGCATCTTCACGAGGTGGAGGGAAGGAGACTCAGTACCTGCGGGAGGCGGAGGGCACCCGGTGCTGCTCAGGGCCGGACTCCTTCACGAGGTTTCCTTTGCAGCATATGACCCTTAGCTTGTCCTGGTAGGAGGAGGCCAGGTAAATTGCTCCGGAGGAAATGGCGGGGCCCAGGTATCGAGGGTTTGGGATTTCCAGATATGCTCGGGCGGGGGTCCTGCAGGATTCCAGAAGAGAGTTGACAGTCGTTACTGGCTACCTCCACTGCTGTGTGGCACTCCTGTCTTCACAGCATGGAGGGAAATGCTTACCCCAGTGAGGAGCGGGCCTGGATCTCAATTACTTCCAGTGAGTTGAAGTGAGTCACAAACAGATAAGGTTCTCTGTAGGCTGCAAGGCCACCACAGAAGAAGAGCATGAGGAAAAGGGGGGCAGGGTGAGTAAAAACAAAACCTGAACAAAGACCAGTGACCCAGCATCCAGCACCCGCCACAGTGCCAGTGACCCAGCATCCAGCACCCGTCACAGTGCCAGTGACCCAGCATCCAGCACCCGTCACAGTGCCAGTGACCCAGCATCCAGCACCCGTCACAGCGTAAGCACACTAGCTTGGGTTCAGTCGCTGCCTTGTTGCTCATTACAGAGTAAGACAGAATAATTTACATCAGACGAACGAGTTAAGTGAATTACTGCATCCCTGTGGAACTCTGCACAAGCTAAAAGATGCACCAGGAAGCCCTGTATCTACCCACAGTGCACTGCTCAGTCAGCAGAGCAAGTTCAGGTCTACCATATGCTTGTATTTGCACAGAACTCTGGGGAGATGATAAGCTCAGGGAAGTCCTTCCCTTTGGGGACAACAAGATGGACACCAGGGTGAGAATTCTATGGACCTGTTTACACTATAACACACTCCAAGTTTCTAAACATTTTTTCCCTATATGTATGTGTTTTGTCCGTATATGAGTATCTATGCACGTATGTGCCTAATGCCCTCAGAGACCAGGAGATGTCACATCCCCTGGAACTGCAGTTATGAATGGCTGTGAGATGCGATGTGGGTGCTGGGAACCAAACTTGGGTCCTCTGGAAGAGGAGTCAGTACCCTCTCTAAGCAGAGTTTTTAAAAGACCAGGATTTAGACACTGCAGTGGGGCTTTACTGTTATTCTTATTTGCTTCACTTTGTAGACAGTCTCCCTATGTTGCCCAGGCTAGCCATGACCTCCAGACCATCCTGTATGTTTCCCAGGCTAGCCATGACCTCCAGACCCTCCTGTGTGTTGCCCAGGCTGCCCATGACCTCCATACTCTCCTGTGTGTCAGCAAAGCAGCTGCATTTTAATACTTCTCTCTCTCTCTCTCTGAGGGGACGCTGCAGCCAGAGAAGCCAGCATAGGCCCTGTCCTCTCCTGTGTTGTCACGGCTGCTCCTCTGGCAAGCCATGACTCTGAACATGGCAGCCCTGTCAGCCTGCGTGAACTGGCAGAATGTGATGCAAAAGAAAGGCCAAGAAGCCTTTGTTTATAGTCCAGGATGAGTCCAGATAGAGGAATCAAGGCCTCTAGCTAAGTGACCCCTGTGGCTAACAAAAGAAAGAAAAGCAAAACAGAGACGAGAGACAGAGATACCACCTTGTTTCTGAGGCTGTTTTATACTTTCTCCTTGTCCTAGATCCCAGTGACAGCATGAGTGACACAGCTGAGCAGACCCAGAGTCAAGGACAACTGAGCGGACCCAGAGCCATGGACACTGAGCAGACCGAGAGCCATGGACACTGAACAGGCCCAGAGCCATGGACACTGAGCAGGCCCAGAATCATGGTGAACAAGCTGCTGCTTTAAGCTCTGAGTTCCAGGATGGCTTATTGCATAGCAACAGGTGAACAATAACAACAAAAAAAGGATTTTCTTGTACATTTGTTTGTTTACTCTGTGCATGTGCATTCATGTGTGTGAGAGAATGTGTGTGCACATGTGTGAGTGTATGTGTGTGTGTTTGTGTGTGTGACAAACAGAATGTGTGTGCATGTGTGAGTGTGACAGAGAGTGTATTTGTGTGTGTGTGAGACGACAGAGAGAGTGTATATGTGGGTGCACACGCGCCCTTCTGGCCACCGTGGTCCTGCAGAGCGTCCAGAGTCTGGTCCTGTGGACTTGCGTCTGTGTTTTTTCTCTGAACTACTCCACACTTAGGACATACAACCAAAGAACAGCATCTGATGAGACAGCACACGTTTGCCTACCACAGTGTTTGCACTTACACAATAGATGGGTACAAGCTCACTGTTCTGCCTAGTCAGAATTAATTTGTGTTCAAGTACGCCATGGGACACGACACAGCCTTGAAAATGACTTGACACAGCCTTGAAAATGACTTAAAATCCACGAGGAACATTCTCCTTTGTACCATGAGACCTTCCGTTTCACAAGGATGGACTATGGCCTTGAAGACTTCCCCAGTTCTCCACAAACACTGTCGGGTGAATTCTGCCCACACCACTTAAGTGCATTAGAAGACACCAGCACCAGACCAAAGCCAAGAAGTCCGCATGGTTCTTCCCAGGACACAAGCTTTGGCGAACAGGAACAGGCCAGCCCTGCCCGCCCCGTACCTCACATACCGAAGGCCAGAGGTAAGCGGCTCCACTTGAGATCATCTGTGCGGCTACGTCTTCCGTAAGAATCCACGAACACCCCAAATTCTGTAAGGCAGGAAGGGCATGGGGACGTTAGCCACATAAGCTTTGATGGGAGAACGAGGACCAAAGCCCGGGGACAACTGACTGGATCTAACCAGACTGGCAAAGCCAGATGACCGCCACAGAACCATCTCCAGTTTAAACTGAAACTTTCCTAAGTGAAGTTTTCTGACCAGTTTTCCTCAAGAAAGAGAGTTCAAGAAAAAAAAAAAAAAAAAGAGTGGGAGAGGGAAAAAGGGAAGGAAAACTTAGAAGGAAAAAAAATCAAGAGAAAAGGAAGTAAAAACCAGAGGAAGACAGCGACCAGTGGGAAGCAAGGGAGGAAAGGCAAGAAGGCCACATCAGGATGGCCTGGCTGCTGCCCTGTGGGAGGGCACCGCAGTGGGCAGCCGTGATGCTGCGGACATTCTCCACCCCCTCGGCCAGGGACCCACCATGGAAGCACAGCAGGTATTCCTCCCGCTGCCCGGCGCTGCTCGCCTGCACGATGGCCACAGGGAAGCTGTTGGACGAGGAGGCGAACACAGCAGGTGCCAGCGTATGGTCGTTCTTGTCCAGGAACTCTGGGAAGGCAGGCCAGGCGGGGCTTCAGGGACACAGCCAGGCTGCCCTCCCTCTGCGGGCCCCCCCCCCCCCCCCGAGCCGAGTGGGGAGGGGAGGAGGACGGAGGATGGCAGCCATACCGTCAAGCGTGTACTGCTTCATATCAATCTCATAGAACTTGTTGGTTCCAATGAGGACGCTGTAATTGGTGAAGTGGATACAGCTGCAGGGCTCAGAGGTCTCTATCTCCTGAGGGGGGGGGCACAGAGGGGCAGAGATGACACAGGACCCAAGTTTCTGCTGCTCTGTCTCTGCCCGGAGCTCTAGCCAAGCCTCTGACACCATGCCTGCCAGGGTGACCTGTGTGGTACCTCATTATCGCAGCTCCACCCCGGCCCCAGTAGGCTGTAAAACCAAGGTGGAACTGCAGCTCACAAATGGGTGAGAGACGCTATTTCCACAGACAGGCAAAACAGTACCAATGTGTCCTTGCAGGAGCTGAGGGCTGGACTCTCACACCAACTCCTAACAGCTGGGGTGCCTGGCCTCGCGTCTGTCTGTGGGCTGGCTGACAATTTGCTGGTTTCTGACTTGAGGCTGTATTATCCACGCACCACTACTGCATCCCTGGTTTAACTGCCTCCTAATTATTTGAAGTTGTTTCTAGGCCAATCCTAATATCACGAAAACAAAAGGTAACCAGCCTTTCTCAGAGTGATGGCCAGGAATCCTGTTTGCCTGAAGCAATGGTTCAAACTTTAACCATCACCTTCACAGAAAATGTATCCAGCAGCTGCATACCAAGTCTGAGGAAACAGAGATGTGGGATGCTACCTTGAGATGACAGGAAAAGTCAAAGGTAGATTCGGCCTTAGATGAGGAAAAGCAGATCTTTCCCCAGCTTTACTGTCCCACTTGCGAATCAGAAAACCCTGAAGCGGCCGGCTCCTCCCTGAGCCACGAATGGTCGAGAGGCTCTGACTGACAAGCCCACAGAGACAACGGTTCACTAACAATGTGGACACATAACTCATTTCCCGTTTGACTCTGGTATTATCATGGCATGACCAGGCATGAGCCAGACTTGTCACTACACAACACACTTAGTCTGGGGACAGCAGACACTGTCACCAGAAGCGAGGCAAAGTTAAAGGCTGGAATGTTTCTCTTCCACACTGTGGTCATCCCTCACAAAGCATTCTGTCCTGAGGAGAACCAGACCCTGGATCGCAAGACAAAATGGAGCCAGTGCTGGCTTATCCCTTATCACCAGAAATCTCCAGGCGCTGATGCAGACGAGACAGACACTGTTAACTTCTAAGACAAAGCTGCCTTCTGTCAGCTCAAAGGGGCATCCCCCACATCCACCTTCAGAGAGCTGACTCTGTTGGGCAGATCCCACACAGAAATAAAGACAGAGGGGACACTGTGACTACCACAGGCTCTGGGCTCTTCCAGGAAGGACAGGTCTCATGCTTTAGACAGAGTAGAAAGGACCAGACACAAGCTATCCTCAAACCCAGCACGGTGGACCCCAGGGGAGGCGGGGCTGTTGGCTTGCCTTGCGGATGCAGTACTTGCTGAGGTTGTCATTGTAGCGGAGGATGACGACTTTGCTCGGCGTAGCGGCGCAGATGCAGAGGCTGTTCTCGATCTAGAAGCCATGGGGGCAAGAAAGAGAACTTGTCACCAGCACCAACTAGAACTCTGCACAAAACTAGACAAGGTCCCAGCCTCAGAACCACAGACATTTTGGACCAGATCGTTTTCTGTGGCGGAGGTAAGGACCGCCTGTACATTGGAGGACAACGGAAACATCGTGGCCCTGACCATCAGATGCCTGTAGCGCCCTTTGCTTGTGATAGTCAAAACTGTAGACATAGTACCACATGTCTCCTGGTCTGAGACTCACTGACTTAGCTGGGAACAAGAGAAGGTTGAGGGGCCAGGCGACATCTCACAGTTCATATGTGGATTTGGGTGGAGACAGACTTTGTTGACATTACCCTGAGAGGGGGAGGACAAGGTGACATGAGGAAGGCAAGGAGTAGGTACTAGGGAATTCTGTGAGGTGGTTCATCTCCACTGTCAACTGGATGATTTGGAACCCCTGAGGATATATGCACCCTGGGCAGTTACGGGCCACCTTTCCAGAGCAGACTATCACGGGCAAGGCTTCCTATCTGGTGCTGTGACCAGATCCCCTGACATAATGATTCGCGGGAGACAGAGTTTAACCTGGTTCTCAGTGAAAGGGGCAGCACATGGCTGTCATCCAAACCAGGTGGCAGGAGCTGGAGCAGTGGAAGCGGACACACGGACACGGACACACACACACACACACACACACACACACATGCACGCATGCTAGAGCCCAGCTTGCATTGCTCAGGTATAGGATCTAGGATGCCCTGCTTAGGGAATGGGCCGGCCCACGACTAAGGCAAGCCAGCTCATACTGATCTACATAAGGGAATCCCCCAGAGACATGGAGACAGGGCTCCTCCCCCAGGTGGTTCTAGATTGTCCAGTTAGCAACAAACAACGACCATTACAGGGTGCCCAGCAATGGGCTGGGCTCCCACACTGAATACAGCCACAAAGGAGGGAGCCTGAAGAGACCAGCATCCCTGTCTGCCTTCTGATACACACAGCTCTGAGCAAACAGCCTCGAGCTCCGAGCTCCGGCTGCCATGCCTTCCCAGCCGTGACAGACAGACAGAACCATGGAAAACTGAGCCAAACGGAGACAAGTACGAACACATTTGGGTCCAGAGGAAAACTTCTTCAGTCGGGTCGGTGGCTATAGAGTTCTACATAAAGATTCTGTTTCTACCTCCTTCAGTCAGGTTCTATGTCCCACCAAGACTGAAAAGAGATCCACTGCACACAGATTCCTAAACTGAAGGTCAGCAGCTGAAGAGTGGAGAGGAAAACACAAATCACTGGAGATGCTGCGTCTGGGGAGGCTGTGTGTATAATACAGTATGACGCTTTACCATTTACATGAACATTTCACATTGTTTTTAGTATTCCGAACAATAGAAGGAGCGATTTATAATTTTTAAGTTATTTTTGGAAATCAACATGTACGTTTCTTTTTTTTTTTTTTTTTTTTTTTTTTTTTTTTGGTTTTTCGAGACAGGGTTTCTCTGCATAGCCCTGGCTGTCCTGGAACTCACTTGGTAGACCAGGCTGGCCTCGAACTCAGAAATCCGCCTGCCTCTGCCTCCCAAGTGCTGGGATTAAAGGCGTGCGCCACCACCGCCCGGCCAACATGTACGTTTCTAAGTAACTCGTTGTTCATAGGAGAGACTTTATAATCCATGGGATGCTAATAAAAAGCTCACACATCCACAGACACAGGCGCAGCCAAAACAGTAGTCAGAGGACAATGCATAGCCTTGAAAAAAAACCCTGCTACGGAACCTAGTGAGCTAGATGAGAAACTCGGAGGATAATGGGGAAAAGTCGGAAGAGAAAAGGCAAAGGCAAAAGATAATGACAAAGTAACGCTGTGACACAGACTCCAATGCTGAGTGTGTGTGTGTGTGTGTGTGTGTATGTGTGTGTGTACATACATGCCTATGCACACACCATGGTGCATGGATGAAGATCCAAGTATGACCTTCCCACCCTCCACTCTGTTGAATGTGGTAGAACTCAGTCCTTGGAGCACAAAAGCCACTGAGGTCATCGAATCAGCTGAGCCTGCTTGTGGGTGGGGATGGGGAGTCACTGCCCTCAGCTGGACTCCTGCCATCTTTTCCTGGTCTGACTGCTCAAGGAAGGTGGGGTGCCAGAGTATACAGACTGGGGAAGGTTAACTCAAGGAGGGGGACTTATCCACCATCCTCCTGGCTCCGGGGAAGCATCACATAGGCTCCAGGGGACAATCTCGGATCATCAGGTTTATGCAGCCAAGCTGCCTTTCGACAGTCAAAGCTAGAGAGGCTGCATCCCAAAACAAACACTCGGTCTGGATGTCATCACAAGTGTACACAACTGTAAATATACTCTTAGCCTTGTCACATTTTAGATGAGAAGGCCAGCGATAGGTCAGTGTGTTTCTATGCTGAATGTTGATAGGTTGAAAACCCAAGAAAACAGGCACTAGCAGTTCCTGCTGCGCATTTGCTCCTCTCCCGTGGGCTCCTAACACCGCAGAACCCACACAGACTGGAGGGACCCAGGCAGAGTGCAATGGCGTCACCACAGAACCGTCTGGAGGCTTTTGTCTTTGTTACCCCGTGAAGGTACAGGACCCTGCCCACACTAGCACTGGAAGTCATCTGGGATGATGAAGGCAGGGCAGAGAGCACAGGACCCCATCACTGCGCACATGCACACAGCAGAGAGGCCCACGGCATCAATGCAGTTTGCCTTGCTTTGTTGCAAGTGGTGGTTCTGGAGTCAATCGCTGGCAGGTACCGAGGGACCGCCAAATAAATATCATTTAGAATTTGTAAGTTTCTAGTAATAAACACACTTTTTCTATGTTGAATTGCTTTTTTTTTTTCCAGGTTATTTTTGTTCTGTTTTGAGACAGGGCCTCATGACACATCTGTAGCAGGCCTGGAACTCACTCTGTAGACCAGGCTGGCCTCTCACTCAGAGCCCTGCCTGCCTCTGCCTCCCGAGTGCTGGGATTAAAGACAAGCACCAGGACAGACAAAGGCTTATCACACACCCTTATTCTCAGGCATTCTGCAGCCCTGTGTTTCACCTTCGGCTTCCGTGTTCCTCAGACATTTCCTTTAGATCCAAAGCCTGGGCCAATGTCTTATCTGCCCAAATTACTTCAGTACCAGAAAGAACCCAAAGTGTTCACAGGCTCAATTTTCAAGGTCATCCAGTAAGTTTGGTGAGAAGGGGAGGCCTGGTTTCCAGAACATTCCATCAGCAAAAGCCTGGAGGGGAGTTTACCTTGCCAGCAGCGAACAAGTGGCAGCCTTTGACGGCTTCGAATATGTTGGGGGAGATGTCGGGCTGGGCGGGAAGGTGTGACTGTGCCAGGGACTGCTTCACCTTCTTCACATCCACCAGACACAGGGCCCGCTCTTCCCCTGAGAAGAAAGACACAGCTGTGGTCAGGGGCCCCATCAATGAGGACACGGAGGACAACTGGTTTACCCGTGACTAAAAACCACAGGAGCCTATGTGGACAAACTAGGGGTGCTCCTTATCCAAGATGAGGGGGGCAGAAGGGATTCTGTGTTTGGACTATCTGTGTATAAGATGAAATACCTTGAGGATAGGATGCAGGCATATCTGTGGAATTCCTGTGTCTTGTACACAGTTTACAGTTAACTTTATACCGTGGTTTGTGTGTGTGTGTGGGAGGTGTCCTACATTTTGACTGAGACCCATCAAATAAGATACAGAAAGGAATTTTCCACTGGTGATGCCATGGTGACACCCAGTTTGAGACTCTGTGGAAGGTTTTTGGATTTTCTGATAAGGGACACCCTTGACCAGCACACATGTTCATTGTCTCGGCCCACACTTTAGATCTGAAATGAAAGCTGTTGATTTCTCAGTTTTAAGGTTCTTGGGGAATGGGGATAATTTTGCAGGCAAAAAAAAAAAAAACCCTAAAGAATCTGAAACATGGAGGAAAGAGTGAGTTAGAACAATGATGGGGTCCAGCTACTCAGATGTCTCCATGGTGAGAGAGACAGAGAGATGAGGACCTCTCAGGAGGTCACGGCCACACTGGAGCCGAGGAAACCAGAACAAAGGGCCTCATGGGATATTCCCAGAATTCCTACATGTGGGAAAGAGAAGGATCAGGAGTCCAGGGTCAGCCTGGGCTACATGAAAGCCCATCTCAAACAGAAAAACAAAGTTTGACTTGACTCAGTCTGTGAAGCCTTGTAGTGTACACACACATAAAATTTAACAGACAAGGTGGTCTAACGGAGGTCTTAGACCTCAGAGAGCAGTTCCCATGAGCTCATGAGAGGCTCTGTAAAGGAGCACGCCTTGACTAGCCAGTGTTCCTGTGTGGTGATAATTTGCTGGCTCCCAGCATGCTCCTGCCATGCTACCTGCATGAGGTCACCCAGCAAGGAGAACTTTTCACCCAGTGGGCACGATGCCCTTTGCGATTCTGAACCTTTGGGGCTGTGGGGTAAATAAACCTCTTTTCTTCAGCAGAAGCCTGGTCTCAGGTGAAATCTGACTCAGCATTCCGCACGTGGCAGAATGGTACGGTGTTCTCTTGAGTGTCAGGCTGGCAAGCTGGACATGGCCAGGGAGCCACATGTGGACAAAGGCCCACCAGCTGAGACACACAGCAAGAGGACGCTGCTGCTCCGGCTTGCTGCCAGGAGGCTACCTCTGTGCATCTCCATTGTGAAACTCGGCTCTCCGATGCCGCCCATGAAAGCCCACGAGGAGGCTGCGTGCTGGGTTCCCACCTGCTATCATGAGCAGCTTCTCCAGGTCCTTGACGATGTAAATCTGGAAGACTGCTCCAATTCCTGGGATGTGGGTTAAGGAGTTTTTCAAGACGTTCAGCGCATAGAGGCCTTCCTCGGTGCCCACCAGCACCACCTACCAGGACAGAGGTCCAGAGACAGAGTGTAAGCCAGACACCACAACGATCCCCCCTGCTTAACAGCAGCTAAGGCACACCGCCCCCATCCTGACAGTGTGTGACTGCAGCCAGCTGCTAGCTGACGGTACCCGCTGCCCCAGACAGCCTACCTGGTCGCTGAAGGGCAGGGTGCAGTTCATGTCAAGCCGATCATCACCTTCCAACTTCAGCAGAGAGTTTCCAAGTAATTTCTTTCCATATGTGAAGGAAAACAGAAAAGATGAGGCAGGGTGAGTGCAAACTATCTATGACCAAGCCGTCCAGAGGGACAGTGACCTAAAGTCAAGCTCAAAGGCACACAGTGGACCACAACCTCACACACGCCAAGCCAAGTGCGAGGCCACTGAGCCTGACCCCAGGCTCTGGCCACATCTCTTCACTGACACCCTGGGTCAGTGTCAATGGTTCCTCCAGTGCAGCCCTTGATTAGCCTCGGTTACAGCTGGGTGCAGACACACACAAGTGGGTGACGGAGGCACAGAGGCTACTCCGTGACAGGAAATGCTAAGACAGAGGTGCGGAGGGTTAAGGAGCTGTTAGGAAGGCCCCTCCCCCACCTCAACTGCAGCAAGAACACACAGTGCAGGTGTCCTCGGCAAGCCAAGCCTCTAGTTCTCTTTACCTCACCCCACACCGGCTGAAGCTCACGGCAAGTACGGTCAGGTGCCTATTATACACACAATTAAGGCATATTTCAGGACAAGGTTCGTGTGTGGAACAGGACACAATTCTTCTGGAGGCTCACAGTTAAGAACGCTCCCACTGCTAAGGGTCTAAAAAGTGCTGCTTGGTCCTCAGAGGAGCAAACACCAAGGAGCAGTGAGCACGGTCTGCATCCAGGATATTCCCAGAAGAGCGTGCGATTTCAGACCTGCCCACAGAGAGCAGACGCTGCAGAGGCAGCCGGACAGACTGCGTATGGCTTCCCGGAGCGCAGGTGCTCACCAGCACACTGGCATCTGTCTGCTCTGGCTTTCCAGTCAAAGTGCTTATAACTCTGGGACCTCAGGGAGTAAACCGGAGGAGGGCGTCCTTATAAACACTGTGGTGAGGCTGCTCCAGGCAGACCGCAGCTCCCCTGCTCTACACCACACAGCCAGTCATGACCCTCCCGACCCACGCACACCATCAGCTCTCAGACAGAGGAGCAGGAGACCCTGCCAGACAGGGAACTCCCACCATTCCAGTCAGTGCCCATAGCCACGCAACCCAAGAGAAACCCCGAACCCACGTCATGGTCACATACTCACAGCATCGGCTTCTGCCTTTTCCCTAGAAACTCTCCCACCTGCGACGACAGATTCTAAGGCGGTGACCCAGCGCTGCTTGTCAGGAAAGCTGGGTGCTAGCAAGTAGAGGGTTCTCCCAGGCCAGCAGGTGGTGTGTGGGTGAGACTCCATCTTCAAGATGTATGGGACATCTACAAGGTTTCAGAGAGCACAAGGTTGGCCTTGGAGGCTCCCTATCCACCCCCCAACAGGGACGATGATGTCACAGCATCAGAATCCCACCACACCCTGCAACTCAAGCGCCTGCTGAGATGGGGGACTGGACTGAGGTGGTCCTCCTTGGCAGAGCAAACTGCCACATCCCCATCCTGCTCCTCTCAACCTGTCAAACCCAGCCACCTCCTGGGCGGGGCTCTTCTGGATCCTGCTCACCTGCTTTGGCTGTATTTGCAAGTTCAGAAGCACCAACGGCACCATGAATAGATACGTCCCCGTCGGGAAGGCACAGCTCAAATTCTTCCACCGGCCTCTGTCCAGCTTGGTGCAAAGAGGAAGGTCGGAAAGAAAAACAAAAGAACAGGACCAAGAACGAGAGAAGAGAGGGAAGAGGAAGAAGAAGAGAGGAGAGGAGAGAAGAGAAGAGGAGGGGAGGAGACCAGAGAAAAGAGGGGACAGGAGGGGGAGGAGAGCAGGTGAGAGCAGGGGAGAGGAGAGAGGAGGGGAAGAGAGAGCAGAGGAGGGGAGAGGAGAGGAGGGGAGAGCAGAGCAGAGGAGGGGAGGGGAAAGGAGGGGAGGGGAGGGGAGGGGAGAGGAGGGGAGAGCAGAGCAGAGCAGAGGAGGGGAGGGGAAAGGAGGGGAGAGGAGGGGAGAGGAGAGGAGAGCAGAAGCGTGTATACAGAGCCGCACAAGGACGAAGAGTAGAAAGAGGTGTAGACAAAGCAGAAGGGGAAGATAAAAAAAAAATAAAGTGTGTCAGATGAAGGGCACAGTCAACTTTCTGACGCCGCTGCGGATTTGTGGGCTAGTTGACTGAGGCGGAAGCTCTCTGGTGTGTTAGCAGGTGGGATCTTCGGGGCAGCACCCTGCGGGTCCTTCAAGGGGGAGACCTATAGATTGAGTATCGCACCAATAACCTTTAGAGAAGTCACCTGGCTTTTAACTTTGAAAACTGGGAAAGCAGAGAAGGCTTGCGAGGCAGTCAAAAAATAAATTAATTAATCAATTAATAAATAAAACCAAACACTAAAACCAAACCCTTCACTCCAACACTTGGAGGCCTGGGTTAGCCGCGTGCAATGACATTCTCATGAATGACTAATTTACCTTCTCTGGCTTCATTGTCATAGATGAGGACTTTTGAACCCTCCAGGACAATGTACTTCCTGTCCCAGCCTTGCTGTCCTCGTTTGTTATTCCTGGGGAAAGAAAGATGGAAGAGAAAGATGTCAGAACGGAGAAGCAAGTGGGAGGGCTCCCTCCAAGGCACTTCCCTGTGACCCTGAGGCGGGCCACCCTGCAGGCACCTGGGCACTTTCATCCACCCTTCCAGGTGCAAGCTGCTGCTGGGCTCCTTGCTCTGGAGACCTGGGGAGTTCATTTTGTCACGGCAGAAGGCCTCGGTGAAGTGTGTGGCGTATTCAGCAGGCAGGCCACAGGTGGCGGGCAAGCAGGTGGAGCATTTGGGATGACACATCACTTGACATTCTAGAAGAGCAACCAAGAGCCTGAAGACAGGCAGCGGGCTTCCAGCCAAGGCCCCCAGTGTCTCCACCCCCAGTAGGACTGTAAGTGAAGCTGGACACACAAGCCATTCAGATGCTTTCCTAGGTGCCAGGCCCCCACAGGGACACAGAGGGCCACTGCTCTTGGCCTGTGTTCCTGGCTTCAGGCTATGCCGCCCACAGAGGCGTGTACAGGAGCCTGCTTGCAAGTTCATGACAATCACGCAAGCAGGGGAGAGACTAGCCTAACACAAAGTGGCCAGAAATTAACCCAGGTGGAAGCATTTGGTACACTGACACAGGGGTCGTGAAGGAAACAGTGTCCTCCGTCCCACCGAAGGGAAAAGCTTTGGCGGTAAATGTATTACACCACAATTTGGAACACCACCTCCACCTGATAGATCTTCCGGACGGAGACATGGAGGTGGCCAGCAGACACACGGCTGCGGCTCTTACCGAGACACTTGGATGCCTGGCGGCCGAAGTGCACGGTATCCAGACACACGGCGCACTTGGTGGCTCGCATGTTCAGGCCCACATTAAACCGGTGAGGAATGTTGTGGTGCATACGCTCTTTCAGACGCCGGCTGAACTCTGAAGGGAAAGAAAACGGTTACTTGGAAGGGAAGAGAGAATCCAAGGGACAGGAGAGACGGTCTCCGCTAGGACTGGCACCCAGAAGTTATTAGGCGTTCTTAAGACCCAGTACTTTGACTAGACATTTCCCCAAAGAGGAAAAACAACCCCGGAGAACCCGAGAAGATGCTGGCTGTCATTAGGCTTTAGGAAAAATGCAAATTAAAACCCACAGCAAGATGCCATGACACTAAAATGTCTGGAAACCCAGGGTTGAAGCGGATGCGGAAAAGTGGCATCTGTGGAGAAATGGCATCGTTCACACTTCCCAGGGGGACGGAAAGTGGTACAGCTACCTTAGTAACCTGGAGGACAGTTCCTCAAAAAGCTATACATAGACCACGATACACACAGTATTCCAGCAATTTCCACTCCTAGCTTCATGCCCAAGAGGACAGAAAACACACCCACCCACAAGAACACTGCACATCACTCACAGCGGCAGAACTTACAGCAGCCAACGAGCAGAGATACCTCAAACTCTCCTCTCAGTATAATGGGTGACATGTACCACCCAGACAATGGAATATTATTTAGCCATGTAAAGGAAAGAAACCAGCGAGGCAGTGACATGCTACAGTGTGGGTGGATCCCACAGAACGCTATGGTCTGGAAAATAAGTCAGTCACGGAGGGCTACATGTAGTATGAGCCCATGTATTTCAGAGAGAGACCTAGAGCGGCAGAACCTGAGAAAGTAGATCAGTGGTCGCCAGAGGTGGGGAGAGGGAGATGCAGAGTATCTGCTGACAGACCCAGGGGTTTTTGGTTTCAGGGTTTCCTACAGTCAGAGCAAGGGCGACCAGATCACACTGAATGCCCTGAGAATACTGAACTGCACATTCTCAGGAGGTGACTTACAGGGCATGTGTGTCGTCTCTTCATTAAACTCTAAAAGCATGAACTGTAAGTTACTGTAGCCACTGGATGTGTGTCTAGATCTGTCTAAATCAGTAAGACGTCGCTCTGTGACCTGATAATTACTTTATTTAAGAACAGACTCCTGGCAGAGGCTGCCTCTATGGTAGCATCCATGTCTGTAGGCATGTAAGGGCGGGCGGGCGGGCACTGTTATCTGAGACAGGGTCTCAGTCTGCAGTCCTGGCTGGTGTGGAACTCGATCATGACGCAGACCACTCTGGCTTGATTTGCCTGTGTCTACCTCTGCCTCCTGAATGCTGGGACTAAAGGTGCACCACCAGCCCAGCCCTAACTATTTGTAAACACTTAGTCATGAAAGACAGATCTAATGCTTTTCACAGAAGTCAGTTTAAAAGTACTAATTATGAACTGCAGAATGTATTATTAAATTAAGAACTGACTGAAGAATTCCTTTATGCCTGGTTTTTTTTTTTTCATGATTAACCTTTTGTTCAAAACTTTTTACGTCTTACATTTCTATCCCTGCCTGCTAAATTAACAAGCCCCACCCCTACCCCCATTTACTGGCTCTCCCTCAACTGTACACAGACAGAAGCCTGGAACATCCGCCAAGCCCAGCACTGCTGGGGTCTCCTCACTGTGCCACGGCTCTTCCTTTCTCGGGAAGCTGTGAGGAGTCACTGACGTGACGGGACACAAACGCATAGCAATACCCAGAGGGTACGGTACACACCAGGAGGGACTTGGGGAACACGGTGCCCAGAGACCTGCTCCAGGACACCTGTCGGTGGATGGACACCTGTCAGTGAACATCTGGCCGGGGGCCATTCTCTCCCATCTGGAAGACTTTCAGAGTTAAGCATTCTGGACCAAAGTGTCCCATAAACACAGCAACAAGACAGCATCGTCGAGATTCACAACGTAAGAAGGCTGACAGTGAGCCGGGACTCTACTTCCAAGGCTTCTCGACCGCCACCTTCGCCCTTTCCAAAGGTCCTTCCCCTCTGTGTCACACGTTGATTTTGAGACCACAAAGGAGACCCTTCACACTGTCCGTGGTCATAGCAACTGGCCACCAGTTGGTCACATTTGAAGTGGCCATAACCTTTCACCCACGGACTCATTTCCTAAGAATTCACCCACCAGCCACTCCTAGAAGTACAGAATGTCCTGTAAGGAGTGTGTGCAGCAGGGGCAGGTCTCCTTGGTAGGGGACTCTTACACCCACACGTGGCACACTGCTGAGTTCTTTGCCAGAGGGAAGTACATCTAATACACGCTGACAAGGTACTTTAAATAACACTGAGACAGCTTGCAGGGTACAGGACAACAGACCTGAGAAACACAGGTTAGTGTTCTCAGGTTCTCTGTTGCTTTTACCGTGTAGCCCCGGCTGGCCTGAAACTCACAGGCATCTGCCAGCCATTGCCTCCTGAGTGCTGGGATTAAAGGTATACACCACCAGGCTATTTCATGTTCTTAAAATATATTCTTATCAGGTACAGGACTCAATATTAACACGAGCTACTGCTGGAAACTACAGCAGTTGACTCTGGGTAACAGACAGGGAAGGAGACTTTTAGTAGCTTAGGCTGGCATCATGCAGACAGGTTTCCCGTGACTGCATTGGGGTTTTACAAGAACATGGATGGCCTGGGCTACCACGCTCTGTCTGGCTACACGGTTCCCTCTGCTGCGCTGAGATGCAGGGAGATGCCCTTGCAAGACGCTGGCTGGCTTCACACCCTTGAGTCTCTCAGCCAAACACACTTCTTTTCTTTACAAAGTACCGGGTTTCAGATGTTTTAACAGTAGAAAACAGCCGGTGACAAGAGCGTACCCTCTGGAGTGGAGGACTCCTTTCTGCGGCTGGATGGCGGGGCGAGCAGGCTCATGGCACTGGGCTGGTGCTCGGGGGACCGCACAATGGCGGACATGGCGATCTGCTGCCTCGCAGTGGCTGGCGTGGACGGGTGCGGGTGGTCCGTGGCTTTGCGGTGGGCAGCTGTGGAGACACCAGTTACAAAGCCTTTCAGTTGGCTCAGCCCGCACCAGACTAAGAAGGTTACCCATGGCTGTCTCTCAAGGACCCAAGACCCAAAGGGCAGTTGTTGTGCTAACTTGGCGACACAGAGGAGGCTGCAAAACCTTCAGACTGGGGACAACACCCGGAATGAAAACCCGTAGCCCACAGAGACACTGAACTAGTCCTGGCCCCGTCTCATGGGGAACAGTCTTCTGCCTGCTCCGTAGTTTCAAAGCCTTTCCAAGAGCCCGTACCTTCCTCCCGCGCAGACCGGAGTTCGATGCGGGTCTTCTGAAGGGCTTCCTCTAGCTCCGCGCAGCGCGCTTTCTCCTTTTCCAGGGCTAGCTTCAGCTCATTGTACTGCAGAGGAACCTGTGTGGGCAAAGCAGGGTCCTCTTTCCGTCGACTAAATAAACCCTAGCAATGGAAACAGAGATATCTCCTAACTCCTAGAAACTGGCACTGGACCCAGGCTCCAGGAGAGCTGACTCGGGAGGAGCAAGCCACCAAGGCCAGGCATATACTCACTGTAAGTGTGTTTGGGGGAAATGGCATATGAAGGGGAGGGGGGAGGGAAGGCTGAGCCTCAGCCCACTCCAGTCAGCTGAAAAAAAGAGCGGGTGCGGAGGTTTTCACCGAGAGGGTTAAAGATGCTTCAACTGCCACCACCTCTTCCTTTAGCATTCCCAAGACAGGAGAGCCATTTCCCGAGAGTCTCTGGCCCCTCAAAAAATGTAATCGGGATGGATGAAGTGTGGCTGGGAGAGGTGGTTATGGTTCAGAGGTCCATCTTGCCTTTTGAACTTGTCTCATGGTGCTTGGTGACAAGACACGGGGAGGGGGAGGATTGTGGATTGTTTTGTCTTTTTTTTTTTTAAAGAAAAGAAAGCAAAAATTGAAAATAAATGCTAAGATGATATCAAAACAAAAGGCTTACTAAAAAAAAAAAATACCAACAAAAAGTTACCGTACACAGAAGAAAAATGGAATCACGCGTTTGACAAAAATATCAATCAACAAGAAAACCAACGCAAAACATCCTAACATCAATGACACAACCAGACAATAGTCCGCTGTCAGAATAAAAAAAAAAAGATTAAATATCATGAGCTTTAGCAAGAATATATGATAACATGGCGTGTGAGAAAACCCTCCCGTGGCCAGCGCTTAGCGAGCCGCAGCCCCGACTCGGAGCCCTGCCTGCATCGCCTGAGCAGTGGATGTGAACCAAGGACTGCCACGGAGGGCGTCCGTCCGCTGGTCCCCTCCTCTGGCTGTTCTACGCCATCAAGTCCTTCCCTTTAACACTGCGGCCATGAGTGTTACAGTGTGCTAAGACCCCTGGGAGGAAACTGCCAACCCTCAGAAACCTTCCTGGTGCTCAGATCAAGATCGGCCATCCTAGGATAAGAGCTGCAGCTGCTGGGGAGCCCGTGGACTGGGCTTGTGAAAAGCAGTCTCCTCACAGGGACTCCCATATGACCCGGTCCACAGCTAACCCATCCCCACTACCCCTCATATGACTGAGCCTAGGGCCTCATATGTCACAGCTGGCTTTTCATCCGGGTTTTCATCCCGTTGTTTCTGTTTAGAGCAGAGTGCAGCTCTGGTGAAGACGGCTGTCTAGCCGAGTTTTAAGCAAACCATTTCAACTTCCTGTGTCCATGAGCCATTTAACAGCACGGTACTATGGGAGGGCACATCTGCAATCCCAGTGCTCCGAAGGCAAAACCAAGAGTTTTAAAAGTCCAGTGTGAGCTACAGTGCAAAATTCTGTCTTGAAAGGATCAAAGCAAAAAGCTAAATAAAAGCTCTGGATTAGATCACTCTGTACTGCTTCCTGGAGACCCATGTAGGCGACATGAGAATTGCCCTAGAGTCCCAGGCACATGACCTGCTAAACTCTCAGACACACGTGACCTGACCCACATGACAGCCCTAGACACACGACCTTCAGACCTAATATTCAACCTCTGCCTAAGCCTAGTCCCTCAGCAGATGAGCCCCTGCTCCATCCCAGCTTCTCTGCAGGAGTGGAAGAAAACACCACTCCCTTACAGAAGTGTCATTTGTCGGTCTTCATCAATGGTCCCCCGTGATAAAAGCTACTCTGGGTATACTCGGATCGAGTTCTCAACCCAGAATAAACAAAAATGTACGTTTTCCTTCTGTTTCTGCGGTTATCTATCACAGTGGTATCTACCACGTCACGGGTGGCGGAGCCAGGTCGCCTGCTCCTGCTCCCAATGTTGAGACCTCCACTACTCACCTTTTTCTTTTTCGCAGGCTGGTCCATTTTGGCTTGCAGGAAATCAATGAGTTTGGTTTGTTGAGAAATCGTGCCTTCCATTTTCACCTTCTCATGAGAGTAGAGAACCTAAAACCCATGGGAACAAGACCGGCCTCAGAGGCAGATGGAAGCATTATGTGTGAACTTGGGGCTTTAAGAATGGGAACAGTCAAGTAGGAAAGGCGAGAAAAACAAAACCGCAAGGCCAGCAAGATGGCTCCGTGGGTCACAGTGCCTGCCCTTACTGACAGAGAAACACAGGCAGCAAACAACCAAAGGGCACTAACAACAGAAAAGAAGTGATGGGGGGGGGGGGGGACGGAAGAGGGAGGGAGGAAGACGGGGAGGAGGGGAAGGGGAAGGGGGCAGGAGCAGGCAGCCGCAGCGCCCCTTGCTGGCCCTCACCTGAATGTTTTCCAGCTGATACTCCAGGTCACTCCTTTCTGTCTTCAGCAGATCTGCTCGGTCCAGCGCCTCCTGCAGCCCTTGTGTCAGTCTGAAGATGTGGTTTTTCTGCAGGTCCATCTGCTGCTGCAACTTGGCTTGCTGGTGAGACGGAGGGGACGGCAAGAGGCTTGACACCGCACACGGTACGGCCGGCTCCCACCCTGGTTCCCATTCCCCAACCGACTTCCGGCATGACTCAGGACGTTCCCTAGTGGAAGCAACTCCTTCCAGAATTGCTGGTTGTTTTCTATTCTAAGACAGGAGGACACAGCTGAAAAAGAGACTTCTAGGACCCCCTGAAGGCCACATGTTTGCAATCTCACACTGGAAGGTAACAGGCGTCCAGGCCCGCTCACTCTGTGTTACAAAGGCGACCAGTTTGGAATCTCAGAACAATACAGGGCTGACAGCAAAGCAATGGGAATCAGTCCCATTTGTCCCACTTAGGAGTGTCTAGGACCTCAATGAGTGATCAGAAAAGCCACTGCACAGGCTGTGCGGTGTGCACAGTCCCAAGTCACACCAGCCCTGACTCGAGGGTCGCCCCCGAGTATATAAAACAGCTCCAATTAGCGGGAGACATTTCTACCAGTGTAGGGACAAAGGAAGAAGAGCCTAGCTATGCAACAGTTAAACCCAAGGAAAAACTTCAGTTTCATATATTGGAGAGGGTTTGTGTTGGGGAAAAAAAAATCTAATTAAAACAGAAGTCAAGCAGCCCCTGTCTAAATGTGCTTCATCTGGGGAGACCCTGCTTGATTTCATGTACCCTCAGGTTATCTTGTAATCACAGCTACTGCAGCCCACAGAACTGCCTTCCCTGCGAGCTAGACTCTGCAGACTAAGGGAAAGCAAAATAAACATCATCGTGGATGCTTCCAGATAGTCCAAGGCTGACACCCCAGCCCCCAGCCCCATAGAACAAGAGGCACAGCGGCCTCAGAGCTGGCTGGCCCTCACCCTCTCATTTCCCTGCTTTCCGCCTATGCCCTGCTCCCCATTTCTATGGCAACAACTGCCAGAGGCATTGAGCTGTGCTAAGTAGAATCCGGACCCTTCGATCATATAGTTCCTGGCTTAGCTCCTGACTTAATCACAAACATGTTACCTCACCCGGGCTTTCTTCTTCCTGAGTGTGTGTAAGACCCTGCCTCCCCGGGTGACAAACTCCGCCCAGTGTCTGTCACACAGTAGGTGTTCACATAGATGATGGTAGTCTCTGTGTCTGTCCTTATGTCTGTCCTTCCTTTTCTCCTTCCAATTCAGTCCTCTTCTCCTTCCCCATCTGCCTTTCCTCCCGGCCCGGCTGCATTTAGCACGTGAGATGGCTAAACTTACTGCTCGGCTTCCTGGGAAGGAGGTTAGTGATGCGTGTCTGGGTGGTTTTTGAGATGAATTCCCAGGGAAGTTAGATCTTAGGCACTCTGGCTTGGTGGACCTTAGATAGAGTCACAGTATGACATCAGTAGCCTGAGGCTAAGTGACAGGAGGCGTGGCTTGCTTGGAAGACAGACATCCTAGGAGACTGTGTCTTGCCCTGAACCCTCCTCCTCTGTCTCCTGCTCTCCACTTCCTGGCTCCACAGCCCCACTCCTCCACACTCTCCCCGCAAAGATGGATGGTTCCTCTGAAGCTGTGAGCGAAAATGAACACTTCCTCCTGCAAATTGTCTCAGTCATGTAACTGTCACAGCATGGAGGGAAGTCACTCCTGAGGTGCATGGCTTAGAATTCTAAAATAAACCAAAGTCCTTATGAAAGAAAGAAAGAAAGAAAGAAAGAAAGAAAGAAAGAAAGAAAGAAAGAAAGAAAGAAAGAAAAAAAGAAAGTAAGAAAGGAAAGAAGGAAGGAAGGAAGGAAGGAAGGAAGGAAGGAAGGAAGGAAGGAAGGAAGGAAGGAAGGAGTGAGTTAAGATGATGCCCTGAAGGGCAGTTTTGGTCCCTTAAAATCCACGTTAATTTCCTTCCTTAGTTTTCTCTACTGTTTTAGGACATTAATTAGCAAGCAGGAACCAAGCAGAAACATGTCATGGGCACGAATGATTCACCTGGTGACAGCTGGGCCAAAAATATTTCTCTAGACTAAACACATCGATTCTCCATTGCCTCACCAGGAAACAGGCTGTTTATTTACTATAATAAAAAGCAGGGAAAGGGATCTTCGCTCTATTCAGAGCCATCTAGCCACTGTTTTTGTGGGCCAGAGCTCCCTGGGGAGGTGGACCTTGGTGATGTTCTTAGACCTGTCCAAGCACTTTATGAGAGTGACAGGAAACTGGGAGGGTGATGTGGGCAGCTGGTGACAGAACTGGAGCAAGTGCAGGGAGCAGGAAGGACGGGCGGAAACGAAGGGGAAACAGTGTGGCAGGATGGCATTTTACAAACATTGGCTGAGTAAGTATGGGGTGGGAAGGTGTTCAAGGACAAACTTGGTGGTGGAGTACTCGTAATCTCATAGGTTAAGAAGACTCAACGGCATGGTTACTCAAAGGGCCAAGTGATGAATTTGATGAGCCAAGGTGGGAGGTGGAAATACAGAGCACACACAGCACCACACACAATACACAACACACACAGACCACACTAACGCCACGAAGGGGTCAAGAAAGCGCACGGCTATCCTACAGGGTTTCTGCAAGAACAATACAAACTTATGCCCATTACTAAGACACCTGGCACATGGTGGTAACTGTGTTAGTGACAGACATTTGTTGTTCATTGAGTGTGTGTGTGTGTGTGTGTGTGTGCGCGGGTGCGTGTGCTGGTTTTTGACTTGTTTGCTTTGGTTTTGTGTTATTTTATCTCTTCTACTGTTAGGGGTTGCACTCAGGCCCTTGTAGCCTCTAGGCAATTAACAACTCAGCCAATAAAGCTACACTCCCATACATAGCGTGGGGCTGGAGAAAGACAGCTCGGTGGTAAGAGTTCTTCCAGGGGACTCCAGCTCCGTCCCCAGCATCCACGTCAGGCAGCTCACCACTACTTATGACACCAGGTTCAGGGGATTCCAATGTCCTCTCCGGCTCCCATGGGCACCCACACACATATGGACAGGCACACACATAAATAACAATAGAAGCACATTGGACTATTAATATCAATTCCTGATACCACATTAGCTTCAAAGTACTTGGCAGCTGTAGGCGTTTCAAAATAAGAAAGGATTTTCTGGGAATTAAGGGTTGCTGAAAACTAGAAGTGATGTCCACACTCCCTGCAGCACCCGGTAGAGTGCCACAGAGCCTGCCTGTGTGACATGCTGGGGAGGGGACCTTCCTCCCTGTGTTGGACACGAACCAATGGGCGAATGGGCACTCATCTCTGGCAGGACTTCCAAAGGGCTGAGGAGGGAGATAGAACCACTGTAAAATCCGTCAGGGGCAGTCAGACACGAGAGGAATTAGGGCTGGGTGACATTAAAATTCTAAAGTCTGTCTCTTTTCGAAGTTTCTGTCCCTTGAGGACAGATAACCCTTTGGTCGTGGCCAAACTTATGAAACACACATTACAACCCAGGGTCCCAGCATGTTCGGGCTGCTAAGGGTTAGTCTTTTGGTTTTTGATGATGTGTGAGTTCCAATTCAGATCAATGTTGGCCAGATAGACATCTATTCAAACATCTATCCGGAATGTTCTCGGCCCAAGTGAGAAGGTGGGGCTGAGTCAGGCTTCAGCATGCTATTCCAGGCTTTGCCACTGAGTCACCGTGTAACCTTGGACCAAGCACGGAGCTGTCAGGGCCAGCCTGCCCTTTGCAGATGGGAAGTAGGACACTTGGGAGCCTGATTATGTCTGCTCTGTTTCTGTTTCCAGCGTGTGCCTAATGTAGGAACATTGCCTATTCATCCCAGAGAAAGGACCACCTGGTAGATTGGCGGGTTCTATTACAGGTTAAGCAGTCCCAGTATCCAAACCTCAAATTAGAAATGTTCCCAGACCCAAAACTTCTAGAAAATACCACAACTGATCTCATGTGATAGACACGGTCCAAATGTGGGCCGTTAAAAACACTAGGCAAAGACGTGGGGTACAGCCCAGGGCTGCAGTGCTTGCCCAGCGTGCAGTAGGCCCTGGGTTCAATCCCCAGAACCACATGTAAAAACAGTCTAACGTCGCTGCCAGTCTACATGTACAGATGATGTAAGGGAATCTCATGTTTATACTTGGGTCCCACCTCTAAGAGATCTTTGAAATGCTAGCATTTCAAAGATCCAAAATACTTTTAGCTCCAAGTATTTTAGTAAGGAATAGTCAACCTATAATACAGCGGAATTTCATTCTATCTGAAGAATTCCATTCATTTGTGTTTGCATATATAAATTTTATTTTTAATTTTTGGTGACAAAACACACAACATAAAATTAATCCCTTTATTGTTTGTCTTTCTTTCTTTCCTTCTTTCCTTCTTTCTTACGATGCTAAGATCAATCTGACTCTTGCACACTAGACCGTTTTAGCTATTTCCCTCCTCTGTGTGTAGGGAGAGTTGGTTCTCTCCTTCCACCATGACCAGAGATTGTACTCTGGTCATCTGGATTGGCAAGAGCCATCTGACAGGCTCCACCTTAACTCTGGAGATGGGGTTGCTCACTGGACCTGAGGGTCACTGTTTCGGCTAAGCTGGCACCTCGCCACTGAGCATGAGGGACCGTCTGGTCTGCTACTGCACTGCCATGGATCCCAACCCAGGTAGACCCCATGCTTGTATGGCAAGCACGTCATCAGTTGTGCCCCAGCCCCCGTTTTAGCCATAGACGTATGCTCGGTGGCAGTAAGGACGTTCACATTGCTGCACATCTGACACCACCACCCACCTCCAGAACTTCCCAAGCGCCCAGCTGTGGTTTTTAAGGTGCGATTTTATAAGACACCTGTCTGTAAGCAGTCCAGGAGACCTGCAATATTTTCCCTACTTCCCCCAAACAGCATAGCAGAGCCCAGTTACAGCCACCAGCAGAGCACCCGGGAAGCTCCACCCACATGACTCTGCTAACTGAGCTGCAGGGCCCACTAGACAGTGCCCTTCTCAAACCCAGATTTTCACACGGTATCAACTGGAAGTACATCCTTGGAGGTCAAGTTGAGTGAGAAAGCAGAATCTATGAGTCTGGGCAGGAGACTTGGGTTGGGGGATGGAAGTCATCCCCAATTCCCGTAGCAATGCTCATTCTGAGGAGAAAAGTCATGAAACAGAAGAAGGAGCATACTGGGAGAGCAGCCTGAGCCTGGCACCCTGTGTCTCAAAAGAATTCTTTTCAATTGAATTACTCCATGTTCAAAAGCCCTTGTGAAATGTGGTACTTAAAATCTGGTCGTGCGTTTACCCTGTGTAGGAAGCTAATCGGCATGGGTCTTCTGCCAACACAGAACTTAACCTGCTCAGGCTACCCACTCTAAAGACAGTTCAACTCAGTGCTCACTCAGCCACTGCTCGATGAACCTCAGTTGGGAATACACACACCACGATGAACGTCAGTCTCAAGGAAGTGTCACATTGGAAGACAGAGGTGCTCACTCTAGCCTCCGAGAGACACCATTACTGTGTGTCAAGCTTTAGAAAGTGCTATACGTGCCCCTTACACTACCTCAAAAATGACAGCTCCAAAATGTCTAATTCGGTCCAATCGTCTGGATATAACAACAAATTTCCTCTTTCAAAATCTTATAGGGGGTGGGGGAGGGGTGATGCTCAGGAGAAGTGGGTAAACAACACTTCCTGTGCAAGAAGGAACACCTGAGTTGGAATTCCCACCATCCTCCCAAAATGCTGGGTGTGGCTGTGGATGCCTGTAGCCCCAGGGTCGAGGCTTTCTGGAGCTCACTAGTCTAATCAAAATGCCGAGCTTCCATTTCAGTGAGAGTCTCATGGCAGTGAAGTGGACAGCAAAAGACAAGCCACCAACATGCTCCTCTATCCTCTGCATGTGTAACACACACACACACACTCACACGGCGTCACCTCCCAGGCGGCTCCCACTCACCTCCTCCAGGAGCCTCTGTTTGAGTTCCCGCTCTGTCTCCAGTTTCTGCTGTAAGCTCCGGGCGTTCATCTCGAGCATGGCGTGCTTCTTCTCCAGGTCGTTGAGCTGTGCGTTTGGAAAAATTGGCCACGACGGTACATTTGGGGATGCTAAGAGACTGCAGACTATGAGATGTCCCCAGACCTTCACATGTAAAGATAACCAAGGTCTAAAAAAGCCCATGTGACAAGACATGAAGACGGGAAAACTCAGTGTGGCTGGAACAAGTTTTAAGGATATGGCTGCTCAGTTCACCTGCCAGGCTTTGCCTGAATTCAATTAAATAATCATATTCTTAGGGCTTATTACATGTTATCAATACTGGGATGGGAAGATGGCCAACTCCTCTCAAGGATCTTATATCTGGGCCAGAAAGACAGACAGGGTGGCTACCAGGAGGCGCATCGGCTACCATGAAGCACAACCATGAAGGACAAAGGCCTGCCGTGTTAGAAAAAAGGTTCATGTAAGAGGAAATAGTGTCAGAAACAGGTAAGATCAAATGGAACTGGACTATCTAGACAGACAGACGTCGGCTACTAAATACCACACAAATATCCAATTAGAAACACAGCATTAAACCCGGAAAGGTTCGTCTGTCTCCAGACAATAAATGTACTTTCCTCAAGTTATTAAAAATTATTAAAGTTATTAAAAACCATAGCCAGCTATACTCTGACTCAGAATTATCCTTGAGCTGTAAGCTATAGCCTTGGGTCCAGTGGTTCTATTTCTATGAATTTCCGGTAAGAAAATAATCACAGATGTCCATGAAGATTTATGTTCATTGAGCGTTATTCATATGCGAAAAAAGACTGGAAGAAGCCCAAATTTCCTGTACAAAGGCAATGCTTAAATTAGGTGCCTGCCTGTGATTTTTTTTTTCAGAATTATATGTTTAAAAAAATATTTAATAAGTCAGGAAAAGCCTCCAGTTACATGATTTTATTTTTTTTTAAAGATGGAACAGCATATAAATAGTAAAGGCTTAAATTTATTTTGAAAAGTGTGTGCACGTGTTTGTGCACGTGCATGCGCGCCTGCGTGTGTGCACAAGCGTGAGCAAACAGAGGCGTAAATAAGTCCACCACCACTCGAGGTAATGGATGCTGGTGGTGACATTTGGAAGCGGGGCCCCTGGGTGATATTAGTATTAGGTGAGGCCCCCCACAAAGCCATTAGTGGCTTCCCAAATGGAGACATTCTGTCTCACCAAGCAGGATCAGCCACCATTATGACACAGTAAAAGAGTTCTCACAGATGCTAGGACCATGACCTGGGGACTTTTCCAGCCACTAGAGCTATTAGCCAAATAATCTTCCTTATAGATTACGTTGTCTCAAGTACTTGGTTATGGTGACAGGAAACGGATTACGCTACACTCACCGTGAACATGGCTGCCTTGAGTCACACTGAAAGAGACAGTCACTGTCACAGTGTTTTCTGAAAACATGAGGCTTATAAATCCTTCTGTGAATAAAATAGTGTTGTGTACCCGGTGTTGGACTTTAGGGGCCCAGACAGGTAGATGTTGAAAACTCACCATCCAATCAGGATAACCCCAATACCCAGCTCACCCAGCTATGCCACTGCCAACCAAGAATGCCCCACGTGAGACATATCTGACGTTTTTAGAGCGAGCAAAGGAATGCTTTTGAGATATGTTTACCAAGGATTGTGTCTGAATCCGTGTTAACCCTGCCTTTAAAGGAGAAAAAGAAGCCATTTCCTATACGGCGGAAGGGATGTGTGCTGACCTTGTCCGACAGGCTCTCGGCTTTGAGTTTCTGCTCTTTGAGAGCCTGCTGCAGAGCGAGAATCTCGGCCTTGTGTTCCTTCACTGCCAACTCCACCACCTGGCGAGACTCGGTGATCCGCTGATCGGCTCTCGCCCTGCCAGAGGAGCACAGGCCACCATCAGACGCCCCACGCTGCTGACCTGGAGGGAGGAGGCTGGCCCATTTCTAAATAGGCTGCAGGTTGGAGGGAAGGCAACCCTGGATTCTACCTTAAATGCTGTCTTCCTTCCTGACAGCTTACAGAGCAAAAATCTGACCCACTTCAGACTTGGGTTAAAATTGCCCTGCGGCGGTAAAGTTCCTGTGGGGACCGACTGGAAAGGCTGAAGAGGAAAAAGCCATTCTCAAATGCAAGCCGACTGAATGGGGAGGGGTCTACAGCATCACAGACTCCCTGTGGGGCTGAGAACCCGGAGTGACCATCTACCACACCGCCACCAAGGAACCAGAGCGTGAGGTGGACCCTGGGAGGCTGCTTCAATTTCTAGTGAATGTCTTCTTTGAGCATAGGAAAGGCCTAAGGGTTCTGAGTTCTCATAAAAGGTTGAAACTTGAACCTGACAAATGCATTCACTAAAGAACACAGAAATTCAAATGTGAAAGGGGGAAAACCACTTCTCTTCCCATATTTGAGTCCTGCGCATTCTTGTCTCTGCACTTTGGCTTGCGTGTGGTGATGTTCCACCACAAACTGTTGGCAATCCTGGATGAAGCCCCTTGCTGGCTCCTAAATCTGCCCCAGCTCCGCCTCCCAGAGGCCACGCCCCAGCTCCGCCTCCCAGAGGCCATGCTTCCCTGTTCTCCACAGGAAGCACAAATCCGCTTCTTTCCAAGAATGCAGGCGAAAGATAGCAGAAGACACAAGAAGGTGAGTCTTGGCTTCTTGAGGATGAGGACAACAATTTAAAAAGTATATTTTGTCCAGCTACATAATGGCAAACAAGAACAGGGGTGGGGGTGGGGATGGGGGTGGGAGTGCTGAGCCAGAACTTTCCCAGCTGTGCTGAAGGCAGCAGACTCGGGGTGAAGCAGTCCACATGCTTTCTACCCCTCAGGCTTTGAGCCTGACAGACTGAAGGACTACTGAGCTTGAGGGCGGGTGGGAGGGGTCTGTGGGGGAGTGACTAGCACTTCCTGGGAGCCGGACAGTTTGGAAGGAAGGCTAGACAGGCTTTTAAAGCCTCAGTCCTGCGCCCCACACACCGGAATACGCTGCAAAGCAGCTGCGGCTCCCGGCTCTCTGGCAGTCTGAAGAGTTCTCGTTCGCTCCCGAGCGAGCCTACTTCAACTCCACTAGGAATCAGACTGTTCAGAGAGCCTGCTCTCTCTCACATCCCCCAGCCATCGAGTCATCGTGGGGACAGTCTGATGAGGGGACCCTGCTGACATGGGGCGGGGCAAACATCAGCAGAGATGAAGGATAAACACCACACGGGAAGAGACATGAAGTCATGTAAGAAAGTGAGACAGGACCCTCAGGGCTCACGATAAGCTCTTGTCATCTTTACATAACATGGTTAGAATAAAGCCCTGTGTGGTCACGGGTTACAAACTGGGCCGTAAAGCCTCTTCAGTTAGTCAGTTAGACTAACTGAACGTTTGACATGAGCAGAGCTCCCGAGCTATGAGGGGCCCAGCAGGGGAACTGAACACTGGCCACGAGGATTCAGAAAACTACTACTTAAAGGGGAAAGGACAGAGATGGGGTGGGACAGAGGAGAAAGGAGTGGGTGCCAGCCCAGGCTCACCCCAGGGGATGCTGGGTGACTTCTGGGATTGTTTTTAGATGTCACAGCTTGAGAAATAAGTTGCTACTGGCATCTAGTGAGAAGAAACCAGACAAGATGTGCCACCGTGCTACAAAACAGAGCACCCTACTATGTACAGATCACAAGCAATCCCCAGGTAACTCGAGGCACTAAACCTCCCTCAAGAACGCAGGAAAAGGAGAAAGTTCTCGTGAGCAGGATTCAAAGGCTGGGAAACCCATGGTGACGTGGCTGGGCTAGGAATCTTAGTAAGGCCATTGCTACAGAATAAAAGCATGCCAGCCACTACTCAGGTCTCGAGAAACACTTGTCAGCTCTTACAGCCAGGACATCCACCCCTCCCTGGGTCACCTAAGGCTCTCCTGGCTATCACCCTGAAAGTTCTGCATCCGAGAAAACAACTGAGTCTCAGGAAACCTGGGACAGATGCGTACCCTGATCGGGGCTCTCAGGGGGACTTGGGGTGGTCACCTGGCACTGGTCTGCTACAGAAGGGACATTCCTACCTGCTCTGCTTCTCTGTGTCCAGCATCCTCTGCAGCTCTCGAACTCGACACTCGAACTGGGACTTCTCATCCCCGAGGACGCTCCTCCAGGCCTCCCACTGGCGCTCCTTCTCCAGAAGCTCATCGTTCAGGGCCTCCAGGTCCAGGACCTGCTCCTCCAGCATGGTGCACGTCGTCTTCAGGGCCTCCATCGTCTGCAAACCAGCAACACTGAGTTGTGCCTTGTATCAAACAGGGATTCCTAGAGGTGACTTCTGTCAAACAAGCTTCAGAAACGCATAAGTTCCTAACCGCAGACTCAGAGACAGTTGGTCTTTCTCCCCCAAAGCTCAAGGGGACCAGATGACAATAGAATGATGGTCACTTGTTCTACCATCTGAGAGGTACAACCCAAAGCCAGTCTCAGGTTGGGAGGTGGGGACACAGATCCAAAATCCCAGCACCGAGGAGGAGGCCAAGAGTCCACTGTCAGCGCCAGCTAGGTAGGGTTACACAGTGATACCCTGTCTTTAAAGGCCAATGTATCAGCCGGGCAGTGGTGGCGCATGCCTTTAATCCCAGCACTTGGGAGGCAGAGGCAGGTGGATTTCTGAGTTCAAGGCCAGCCTAGTCTACAGAGTGAGTTCCAGGACAGCCAAGGCTACACAGAGAAACCCTGTCTCGAAAAACAAAACAAAAAAAAAACAAAAACAAGCAAATGTAGCTGCTTTAAAGGGTTCTCCTTTGTATTTATGTGTCTGTGGAGGCCAGTGGGTGCTGTGGAATCCCTTGGAAGTGGAGGTGACAGACCGTTGTGAGCTACCCAGTGAGGGTGGCTGGCTGGGAACTGAACTCACACCCTCTGGAAAAGCAGTAAGGACTCCTAACTTCTCAGTCACCTCTCACCTCAGTACTCACTTTTAAAAAGCCATTTTTAAAACTTTAACCCCAGGCTATGAACTGGAACTGAGCCCCGCCCCAGACCCTTCTAAATCCCAAGGCTCCTCTAGGGACCCAGGGCCCAGCCTGCCTGCTTACTTGCTTCTGGCTGGTGAGCTGCATCTCCCGCTCCGTGATCTCACGGCGGAGATGGTCCACCTCGCTCCGCAGCTGCACGATCTCGTCGTTGGCACCAGAAGCCTCATCCAGTTGTTTGGACAGGTAGAAGTTTTGGTTGTTGAGCTCGGCATTGTCCTCGGTGAGCTGGTTCAGCTGCTCCTCCAGGTCGGTGATGACCTATGGGGTGGGGACAGAAGGAGGGAGAGAGGGGGAGATAATGTATCAGAAAAGCTCACTGTCAGCAAGGACACACTTCCTTGAGCTAGTGGTTTGGAATGCTGCCTTGTGACCGGTCACACTTCTTGATAACGAGAACCAACCCGCAGCTATCTGACCTGATGCCAGACCCAAGTGCGCTCGCCAACTCATTAGTTGAAACACGCACAGGGACGGGGGAATGTCTCCTTTCTCTCTACCTCGAGGTCTATCTAGAAAATATGGCAAGAGCCAATCAACCAAGTACTAAGTGGATGGGCCAAGCTCAAGGGAGATCTGGTTAACAGCAGGAAGAACGACACAAGGCAGGAAGCCCGGGTCAAGCAGAGGGGACCGACTGGTGACATCATCTAATTAAACTGAAGCCGACCTTGACACCACCCACGGGATACGTCACTGCCACAGACACAGCCTTAGGAAGCAAATTAAAGTTTTATCGGGGAAGAATCACAATGAAAGATACTAACGGTTATTTGAATAACATCCCAGGCGCTGAGTTTAATTCTGTGTAACAAAGAGGGCGAAAAAATCTTAAGGGGAGCTTGGGTAATTCTGAGGATACAATACCACATCACGATGCGGCTTTAATGGATTCTGCTCCGCAGCGAGGTCTCCAAGTATATGAAATTGTCGTTTTACTGGGAGATTTAATCTGGTTTTACTAAATTATTTCCCTGTTCAATGACAGAATGACTTCAATTTCAGTGCGTTTAGCTGGTCTATTCTCTTTGCCGAAGCTTAAGGATCAGTGCGTGCAGAGAACATTTATATAAAATACTTTACAAATTTAAGGGTAATTTTCTTGTAATAGTTAGGATAAGGCACATGGGCCATAAATTAAATTTTATGCAGCAAAAAAGAAGTAAATTAAAAGGAAACGTCTTTAAGCCTACAATTATTAACTGTTTCTACACCTCATGATCCGTCAGCATTGCTTTCAGACCTAATTCTTTATTTCAACCGTATTGATCAAAATATATGTCTTCCTGGGTGGGTACACAGAATTACAGAGTGTAAATTAGGGACATTTCTTTGACATACTCCAGAAAGCTCCTTTCCCCAAGCTGCTGGACTCTCGGGGTAGGAAATGTCCTAGCAACCTGTTGGAACACGGACACCCATGTTGAGTCCTGTGAGCTCTTAAGAGACACTCTGTGAGTTATGAGTGGGCAATGACGACTCTGGTCAGGATCTTGGACAAAAAGTTTCCTCAGAAACCTGGAGCATGAATCATGAGCTGTGCTACACACACACACACACACACACACACACACACACACACACACACTGATAGTTTACCTCAAATCTCCTGCGTCTGTCACCTTTCAGTGTCACGTCAAGAGCTAAGTCAAGACAGACACCTGCAAGCACTCAGCCTGTCTCCATCCTACACAGTAACCCCGCCCCTAAGCCCTTCGCCTATGCTGCAGATGTCTCACCTAACCATCTGCGTCTTTCTGCCCCTTCTCTGAGGAGAAATAGCAGAATGGGGCAAACAAGCAGGCCTGTCAGACTCCGGAACTCCAAGTGAGTTTGAACTTCGTGGCTTTCTCCATCTCTGACATAGAAATACACTATATTCTTCATCTTTTAACTACCTTGTATCTGTCCAAGTCCTAAAGCATGAGAGATACAGGGATATAAACTAATGACAAACTGCTGTTCCATTCTGAAAGGCTCTTGAGGAACACATTAACTGCAGAGAATCTATTCACAGAGTCTGTAAAATCTCCTTGCCATTCAAGGTTATATTTAAGCTTTTGGGTACCAACTTCCTTTCTTTGATTCACAGGGGAAAAAACCCATTTATTATGAGCCCATTTCTGTCATCTCTTCTCTTTTGCCCAAATTAAGACTATAACGAGCTAAAGAAGAAACCGGAGAAAAACTCATGCGGTGACAAGGTCCGGGTCTTCCATGACTGAGGCAGGTCTGCTGGAGAAGGAAGGGTCCTTCCATTCCCGTGTCATTGTGTCTTTGAGGGACCTGTATCTTGGTATTATTCCAGCATCTGATCGCCACCTCTGTATCTGTCACTGTCTCATTTTCCTCATTTGACTGGATGAGGGTAATGTGTGCGAGAGCATGTGTGCTGCATGTGTCCATGTGTGCGAGAGCATGTGTGCTGCATGTGTCCATGTGTGTGACAGCATGTGTGCTGCATGTGTCCATGTGTGCAAGAGCATGTGTGCTGTGTACATGTATGTGTGTGAGAGCGTGTGTGTTCATGTGTGAGAGCATGTGTGTTGCGTGTGTTCATATGTGTGAAAGTATGTGTGCTACATGTGAAAGCATGTGTCCTGCATGTAAGAGCATGTGTGCTGCATGTATGCATGTGTGCAAGCATGCGTGCTGTGCGCGTGTACGTGCATGTAAGAAAAAGAGAGAGCGTGTGTGTGGATGGATGTGTTCATGCCTGTTGCCATGGAGGATTCTAAAGCATTTTAACTCATTGGACTGCCTCATCTGCTTAAGTCAGAGCATGTTGGCTTCTGCCCCTTTCAAGTGACAAGGTGAGGCTGTGGTAATATGAAAAACCTTGAGCCCAGCCCTGAAGCTGGGGACTCCGTTGTCTTATGCCTACAGGATGCTGTCCTCTGGAACAGAGACAACAGGGATATTCCAACTACTCAAACCTTCCCCCCGTCCGTTTCTGTTTCTCCAAGACATATATAGCAGACTGGCCTCAAACTCAACCTACTCCTGCTTCAGCCTCCTAGGGGCTGGGACCACGGGCTTGTGGCAGTATGTCTGGTACCCTTCTTGGACACTTTTGCTTTTGGACTAGGTAACTTGCAAAAATCCTTAGTTATCTTTGTGACCGTGAGTAAATTCTTTCCACACTGAGGGCAAATGGCCTGTTTACCAACACACTTAGTTATGAGCTCATTAGCTGTTGGGCCCCAAGAACAGAGGGTTAAAGAAAGGATAAACAGAAATCCTAGTTCTATCTTCACAGTAAAAAAAGACAGGACAGGGGCAGCTTCCTCACACGGGGCCAGCCAGGTTTGCTACAGCAGACAAGAGATCTTGGTGTGGTTCTGAGAAAGAACGAGAATATAAATCTCTCTACTCTCGGAGTCAGAAGCAAAACAAAAAACCAAAACCTTGTGAACCTCATGGTCACAGAACTGCATGTTGACCCCTCACTCCCAACCAGAAGACACAGGGCAAGAGCGTGCAGAGGGCGAGAGGACCAATGGCTTGTAAGTGGCAAGGGGCCAGTCAAACGACAAGCAGCAGCAGGAAAGGCTTGGGACCGACATCCTATTTTAATGCCTACTTTCCCGAAGGCAGCTATTTGCATATTATTTATTTTTAATCTTATAGCTGACAGATTGATTCATAATTAAAGCTGTGTCATATGCTTGCGCACCAACTCCCCTCTAAAACAGACTTAGGGAGGGGTTTTAGGTGACAGATTGAATCCAATCCTTTTTTTAAAAATCCTTTCAAAACACAGAAACGGTCTGAGCCTGGAAGTCTCCTGCCCCCGAGCTTTCTGCAATGACTAACCTAGTGCTCCTCAAGGCTGCGTTATTATGGGGTCCTTACCAGTACCAGAGGTGACACCAAGCCAGCAGGGGCAATCGTGGACAGCACCAAAAGGGGTGGGATACCCAGGACAAGCTCCCATGGCATCTTGAAAGCAGCCCTGAACTTGACTGTGTCACTGAGACCCCTTTTGTGGCTAAATGCCTTGAAGAAGGAGTTTCCAGGCTTTTTAAAGTAGAAACGCCATTTCATTAAACCAAAGCTTGTGCCAGGAGCCTAAGGCAACAGGAGAAGCCAACGACACTTAGTTCTTCCCATGGGTCAAGCCTATGCACACACTGCAGAGCTACTGCGGGAGCCTCGGAGGCATAGCCCCCGATGCCAAGAGGTTCCTGTGTTGATGCCCTGCTGCTTCTGGAAGTCAAGTCCTTGTCAGAACAAGGCAGCTCCCCATCGTCCCTCACCCAGCACCCAAGCCACAGTCCCTAGCTGTGAGCAGGAAAGATCTAGGTCATGTTGGAAGCAGGGCCACACAGGTTAGCCCTATTTTACAGCAGGAAAACGGGAGCCAGGGGGGATGGTGTTAGGTAGGCTGCTGGAGGTCACTTTAGAGGCCGTGGCTCAGACCACTGTGTCTCCCAGCTGTTTCAGCTGATGTGTGGAGGGACCTTGTCAGGTCAGTGACACCCCCCCAACACCCACACCTTTGGAAAGGGGTCCCAGAGACCTGGCTACCAAATGCCATTGGTAAAGGGAACAAACCCTGGGAATCACTGTCTCACAGAAATCAAATTTAGAAAGTATAAACATCATTAAAGTTAAGCCAGAAATCAAATTAATCCCACATACCCACAGGTTCCCTTATGGCCAAACTTCCAATTTTATAAATGGAGGCCAGGTAGTGGGCAAAATCAAGGGTGCTGGGTGTGTTTCTTATCCCGACCCTGTTGGTTGGTTCCCGGTGTGTATACACACTTTGGAACCCTCCAACTCTGTTCCATACCACTCACCTCAAAATGTATATATATAAAAAAATGGCTTCCTTTACGTCCTTATGCTAGGAAACTAAAAGTAGTGAAAAGGGGTCTTTAGGTGAACAGGACAAATCAGATTAACTGACTGATACATTTTAAAACCATCCAAGTTTAAGGAAAGGTGAGTCATATAAAGGAGTCACAGTTAATGGTTTTTCTATGAATTGGATCGTCGATCGCTATCGGTCTATAAACGTGTAGGACCACTCTAGAGAGTCGCTGCTGAGTGCCTCACGTTTGTCAACTTCTCATTGAATACTGTGGATAGAGCATTTTGAATAAAAAAGATACTTTTATTTTTATCGACTACGTCTATCAACCTTTCTCTTTGTAGGCCTCTTCTTCTAAAAGATATCTGAGTACATTGCAGAGGGTTCCAGGGACAGAATGTTGACCTTTGCCTGAAAGAGCAAGTTCAAGGTCAGCCTGGGCTACATGGTGAGATCCTGTTTTGAAATGATTGAATAAGAAGAGAGAGAAATCATGAGGCATACGGTGGTCCCTGTCACTCTGTGGTCATTCATAATAAGTGTGTGTGTGTGTGTGTGTGTGGCACAAGGAAACCAATGGTGCACAAATAAGAAAGCAAAAGTACTAGACGGCCAAGAACAGGATCGGAATCCACCAGTTCCTCAAGGAAGGGAGAGCAGGGAGCGGGCAGGTATCCAGAGGCAGGCGCATTCCCCGCCACATCCAGACATACAGAACAAACCGCCTGACAAAGGAAAGCACGTCTCATGACCTAACAGGTCCACCCCTGGTCACCAGAGATCCGTGCCTACAGCTACCAAAGGACCTGCATGGGGACTTTCCCTAACAGCTTAATTCCTCCTGGAAGGATCCACAGGTCAGGGAGAAAGATCAGGGGAGAATGAGCCAAGCCATGGTCCTCATCATACACTAAAAACACTAAGGAAACAGAAAGGGACCAGACTGTTGCCAGGTCCACAGGGGAGACTCTGAGGTGAGCCGTGGACCTATGGGCTTAGACATCCTGCAGCTGCGTGTATGCTGTGGCTATACTGTGGGGAGCTAAGATGCAAACTTTGACAGAGTGCACCCAAGATCGAATGCCCCAGTTAGTCAGGAAGGGGTCCTTGTCAAGTCTGACAGATAGATGCACACACGTGTGGGAGGGGCTGTTTCTGGAAATTCACAGACGTAAATAGTACAAGCAGGGACGGGACCACTGAGGAGTGACCGAGAAAGTGAGAGAGCCACAAAAAGACCAAAGGCACGGAAGCACAAATAAGGAGAGCGTCCCCATCTCCTCAAAGGGGCCTATTTCTGTCCTTCATTTTCATCAAAAATAGAGCCTGCTTTTCCACTGACTTGACGAGATTACGTAACCAGTGACTGAGGCTTGTCGGCTGCTGATGGAACTCTCGGCAGAAGTGATGTCACCATGAGGGTCCTAGGTTGTGAATTTACATATTAAAAAAGCAGATTTTTCTCTGCTAGGAGGATAAACTTTCTTGGTCCACAGGAGAACTAATTGGCCCTTCTTCTTGGCAGAGGCCAAAGGTTGGAGAAGCCATGTAGATAGCCAGTCCCTGGCATTTGGACAGTTTCTTGCCAGGGTTCGGGGTGGGGGCTGGACCCTCCGCAGCCTCAGGAGCTCAGTTGAAGCTGCTGGGTCTGTCCACAGTTTCATAGTGAGGGTGAAAATCAAATGGTTTGGCTTTCTATTTTGAGTTCAGTTCTGTATCCCAGTCTTGCCTCAATCTCTTCATACTCCTGCTCCGCTACCTTTACAGGTGCGTGCCCCACACCCAGAATCATCTGACTCCTTTAACCATTCCAGCCATCTGCACGCCCCCCCAAACCTAAAGAATGGGTTTAACATCCTTAAAACAGGTAGCCCCCTGAAGAACTAGAAGAACCAACCATTAAGGTCTTCAAGCTTACAAGACCATGGAAACTCAGTCAGCAGCATGGGAAACCCCAGGTCCCCTCTGCCCTCGGGGCTTTACTCATCTTCGGTATCTTTGTACTCACAGTGCAGCTGTTGCGAAGGGCGTCGAATTTGCGCTGGATTTCGTCTCGATGGGCCTAAAAGGTAAGAGGGGCATTGTAAATGTTTCAGAGGGAAGAATGCAATTCTACACGCTGTGCCCCAAACACAGTTTGCTTGAAAAGCCAGGTGCGCTGCCGCGGCAGCCCCAGCCTCTGATTCACGCAGAGCCAATACATCAGCTCACCCCGGTCTCAGCAATAGGTAGCGCGCCACATGGAGGAGCTGCGTGAGGTGAGCACCAGGCATCATTTCGTGTTGACACTAACCCTCGGGCAGAGCTGGGGAGAACTGGGGAGAGCAGTGTTCTTACTCCTCTTCATTGGCCCAAAACCCCCAATTCTGAAAAATGAGTGACTTTCCCTCCAACTGACCCCTTCCCAGCTTTAGTAGCCAGACAACAGACAGACACACACACACAACATGCACACAAACACAAAAGACAACATCAGGAAAAAAGCAGAGACTTTTTAAGAATTAAAGCTGCCGCGACTCACTGACCTGGAAGTAAAGATTCACAGAACCTCACACTAACCTGGAAGTGAACCCCAGCATTGAGGCAACGCTACCCCAAGACAGCAGTATTATTGCTATATTTTGGATCTTAAATGTCTTCCAGAGGCTCTTGTGTTCAAGGTTTGCTTGTTCGGCCTGTGGCACTAACGGGAGGTGGCAAAACCTTTAAGGCACCTGGCCTAGCTAGAGGTCCCGCCATAGGAGGTACTTGAAGAACATACTGGAACCCTGAACTTTCTCACCCCCACAACCCCGTAACTGCTTCCCTGCTACCAGAAATAAGCAGGCCCCTCCACCACGTGCCCCTGATGACACAATCCACGGCACAGCTGAGCGATCATGAGCCAGAATCCCAGGCCCCAAGAACACCGGTAACTTCTTTTCCTCAAGTCAAATAACTTGGGTATTTTGTCAAAGTAACAGAAAGCTGACTGACACGTCCTATCAGTGCTGACATATGCTAACATATGCTATACACACGTGTAGCCCGCGCCTTCATTCTGCTGAAGGGAGACAGTGGAAAGAAAGGGCTTGACACATGACAGACGGCTTGCTTGTCATGTGACGACCAAAAAGAGTTGGGTGAGAGAACAGGGGTCCCTGGACTGTGACCCAGCAGCAAGCATGCTATGGGGGGATTCTGTCTGTCTGCTGCACTCCATTAGACAGAGAAGGTCTGACAGAAGACGGTGTGCTTTGGGTGGTAAGAGTGAGGCCAGACTTCAAAGCTTTGATGTAGATGTATAACCCATCCAGATCAGCAGTGTCAGCCGACCCTACTTTATGTAACATTCAGAAAAAGTGCAGTTAATCAAGCCCTGGAATGTCCGTGTGTACCCATACCCTAAGACACCCTGAGGTGAATCAGCTTAGAATCAGTGGAATATAGGTAGTGACCCTCTGGGGGGGGGGGGGGGGCCGTGGGGCAGGGGTGGTCTGCATCCACGCACTCAACCATCCACAGACAGAAAATAGTCTGGGGGAATGTGCTGGCTGGTTTTATGTCAACTTGACACAAGTTAGAGTCACATAGCAAGACGGAACCTCAACTGAGAAAATGCCTCCGTAAGATTGGCCTGCAGGCAAGTCTGTGGTACATTTCGCTGGTAACTGATGAGGTAGGTAAGCCCTGGTCCCTGGGGTGGAGCCATGCCTGGGTAGGCAGAAAGCAGGCTGAGCATGCCATGGAGAGCAGGCCAGTCAGCAGCACTCCTCTGTGTCAGCTCCTGCCCCCACTTCCCAGGATGTGGAGGTATCCTACAAGCCATAGGATCAAAGGAACTTTTTCCTTCCCAAAGAAGTGGCTTAGGTCATTTGTTTTATCAGTGATAGAAACCCAGTGGGGGGTGTGGGGGTGGCAGGGTTCTTGATACTGACTGTGAACATGGGCTTCCATCATCACATTCGTGAGACAACACAGCTTCCTCTAGTCACAGCACTTAGAAGAAGATATGCACAGGGCTCTGGCCGTTGCATATAAGGGTCTTGAACATCTGCTAATTCTGGGATAGGTGAGAGGTTCTGGAAATCAACCTCAAAAATGACTCTTGCACTGGACTATAAGGAAAAATGTACTTTTCTTCTGATTTGTGGTCAGTGTTTCAAACAACAAAACAAGGAAAGGGAGAAATAGCCAAGGTCATGACAGAGAGACAGGAGGGGGACAGACAGACATCAGGTCATGACAGAGAGACAGGAGGGGGACAGACATCAAGTCATGACAGGGAGACAGGAGGGGGACAGACAGACACAAGGTCATGACAGAGAGACAGGAGGGGGACAGACAGACACCAGGTTATGACAGAAAGGAAGGGGACAGACACCAGGTCATGACAGAGATGGGGGAAGACAGACACCAAAATCTTAACGGTCCAGGAAAGCATCTGAGGCTCACTTGAAACAGCTGGAAAGCACAAGAAGGAAGGACGTGCTCCCACAGCTGTTCTAAGAGTTTGGGGACGTTGTGAGATCACAGGTCGAGATAGAAAGGCACCAAGGAGCAGGGAGGAGGGCAAGGCTGCCGGTCAAGAAAGATGATGGTGGTTTTGCACAGAATGGTGGCAGAAACCAGAGGTGAGCATGTAGAATCCAGGTCTCTTCTGAAAAGACAAGTGGAAGGGTATGAGGGGAGAGAAGCCAGGGACACCCAGGGGATGCTGGGCCAGGGTGACTGTGGACTACAGTACTATTTGCTTAGCTGTAAGAGCACAGAGAACCATCTAGTCTCAGGTAGAGCCAAAGGAAGTCCTTTTCCTAAAAAGAAAAACAGGAAAAACTTATTTTCTAGAAAAGTCTATGAGCCAACTTAAGAAATTAGAACGACAATGTTCTCTCTCATGTACATTTCCCTAGACATTTATAATAGGTTAGAGACACCTTAGGAGACTAGTACACCTGAAGGCAAAGCACTAGAAACTATCCAAGATAAACCACAAGACATAACCAACAAAACCGAACCAAAATAACAACAACCACCACCACCACCTTTAAAAACCAACCAGAGAGCTGCAGGGGGTGAAGGTGGGGGTGGGAGTGGAGGTGGAAAGAGAGAGAGGGAGCGAGCTGAGAGACAACCGACAGCAGCGTAGCATTAACTGTAGACTCTGAGGGAGCCCAGGAGTGAGCTGGAGAAAATCTGTAAGAAGAAAATGGCCACAAATGCCCACAGTTGCTAAAAGCTATGAACCCGCTGGTCTAAAAACTTCAGCAAATCCAAGCCTAAGAAACATGAAGACAATTATTCTTAAGCACATCACCATCCAACTGCTTAAAACTAGAATAAGAAACTCATCAAACAAGCCAGAGAAAGACCGTCACACACAGAGCAGCAGGCGACAAGCAGGGCCGTCCTCTGGGTTGGGTGTGACTACTGCCATCCTGGACCAGGGCAACTCTCATGACCAGTATGAGGTGCCTCATGGGGGCCTCACGGGACAGAGGAAAGGGAAAAGGCTTTCTTGACAATACATAGCAGTAAAAGATGGCCAAGAGGAGGAAACGCAATGGTAAGTCTGCCCATAAGCTGCCCACGTTCCTACGAGTAACCCGAATAAATTCACTGGTCTACCAAGCCAGATGCCAGACACGGGTGGAGTGGTTTCTCTGGCCTGCAGTCTCTGTTCTAGACTCCCCAGTTAGAGACCCTTTTGGGAAGAGGTTCTATCACTATGATAGAACGTTGTGACCAAAAGTAATTTGGGAAAGAAAGGGTTTATTTGCTTTCTAAAGGGAAGTGGGGGCAGGAACTCCAGCAGGGTAGGAAGCTGGAGGCAGAAACTGAAGCAGCCTTGCTCCCCAGGGTTTATTCAGCCGGCTTCCTTATACAACCAGGCCCACCTGCAGAGAGGATGGCCCCGCCCAGTGGGCGGGGGGCGGGCGGGGCCCTCCCACATCAGTCAGTAATCAACAAGATGCTCCATAGGCTTGCCCAGGGGCCAAACTGACCAGAACATTTTCTAGTCTGCAGCTCCCTCCTCTCAGATGGCCTTGGCTTATGTCAAGTTGACAAAAACAGAAATCCTAAGTGGCACGGACAGAGTGACAAGAGAGTCAGGTCCTCAGATGGCGCTGTGGATTATTGAGCGTGAGGAGAGTAAAGTAGCATTTCAAACGGCGACAGAAGACGACCACGACGACAAAAATCCGTTTGCCTAGCGTTCTTTAGCAAAAGTATCTCTCTCCCAAGTGAGGAAGAAATGCTGGCTGTGGCTGACACAGGCATGCACTGGTACAGGAGACGTATCCTCTGCTGATTGGCTGTCGCCGGCATGGGGTGAAGGGGAGGTTTCCCCTGCAGATGAGCACTGTAAGGGAGTCCGTCAGGCAGGCGATGACAAACGGAAAGTTGAGCCTCCATGTGTTCTACAGGGCCTTGTAGTGGGCCTAGTGAGGGCTTCCTTAAGTCATGATCTTGAACTAGATTGTGGGTCCCGCCCCTCCATCTCCCTCTCTCCCCTTGCTTTCTGCTCACAGGGTGAGTGATTTGTGTGCTGCTTTGCCATAGGTCCAATCACAAGGAGCTAATCGTCACAGTCAAGAGTCATCAGAGACCTCCAAATCAGTACTCCATGACGGTACTGGGGTGATGAGTGAACAAACCAGCATCAACAGAGACCAGCTTGCTGGACGAGGAGAACATCTATCCAGCTCCAGAGCAACGCCTCCCATACTACTGCTGAAATCCCGTTAGCAACCAAATGACTAACCACAGCCTGTCCCCACGAACCCCTCACCCCTCCAATCCACGACGTCCCCCCCCCCCCCGCCCACCGTGGACAACATGGAGGCTCTATCTTTAGTCGGTCTCCTCTGCAACAGGGGTCAACAAGGTTGGCAGGCTGGTTAATTTGTTTTTGTTTTTGTTTTTTTTGGTTTTTCGAGACAGGGTTTCTCTGTGTATCTCTGGCTGTCCTGGAACTCACTCTGTAGACCAGGCTGGCCTCGAACTCAGAAATCTGCCTGCCTCTGCCTCCCAAGTGCTGGGATTAAAGGCGTGCACCACCACCGCCCGACTGGTTCATTT